TCAATCGGTCGATTGCCTGACGATAATGGGTCTCCTGTGGTATATCCGATCACCCATATGGCTCGCCACTCCGTCAGCCCCTCGGTCTCTGTAAAGAGGCCTTATTCAGCGGGGGCTATTCCAGAAAACTCAGACTCGGAGGATCTGAGCAATCAAGGTTTCACTTCAGGAGGGAGTATGGAGGCTGCGTCACCTCATTTCATAAAATGTCACCAGCAGAAATTAAGGACCCGACAACGACGTTCTGCCCACATGCTAGGCCCCTCCGGCAGTCGGATAGCGGGCGAAATTGGAAGTCGCAAAAGTAGTCCGTCTAAGAGCGATACGAGACTGCCTAGATTTTCCGCAAGCTCCGCTGACGACCTTGCCGGGAGGTGGCGACAAAATGTGTCGCAACCCGATGCGCAACAGATGCGTGCAAGCCCCGTCCAGCATGGAAGTGTGTCGACCATTCAGCCAGGTGTCAGGCAAGAGAAACTCGCTGCGCGGCCCAAGGGGCAACCGGCAGAAACCGTGGAAGGATTGAGCTTTGATCAGAAATCCGCTGGAGGTGACTCTGCGGTAGCCGGAGGTACAGCATCACACGGGATCTTCCTACAGCCAGAAACTCATCCTATAACAGAAGAGCAATTGATCAATGAAGTGCGCGGAATCTACGCCGGGCTAGTCATGGTGGAGAAGAAATGCATTGAAATCGACAAGCAACAGTCCGAGTCGAAGACTCCGCTGTCCCCACTCCAATGGCAGGCCCTGATTGCCTTACATCGAACGCTGCTGAACGAGCATCACGACTTCTTTCTAGCATCACAACATCCGTCCGCGAGTCCTGTGCTCAAAAGACTAGCAGAGAAATATGCCATGCCGGCTCGTATGTGGCGTTATGGGATCCATTCCTTCCTAGAGTTACTACGCCACCGGCTCCCTGATTCCTTGGAGCATATGCTGACTTTCATTTACATGGCTTACTCGATGATGACTCTGCTATTAGAAAGTGTCCGCGCATTTGAAGACACGTGGATCGAATGCCTGGGCGACTTGGCGCGATACAGAATGGCAGTAGAAGAGGTGGACGTGCGAGACCGCGAGATCTGGGCTGGCGTCGCCAGATACTGGTACAACAAGGCGGCGGATAAGAATCCTGATGTTGGCAGGATACAGCATCACCTTGCCGTCCTAGCTCGCCCGGATGTAGTCCAGCAGCTGTTCTACTATACAAAGTCTTTAGTCAGTGTGCACTCTTTTCCAAGCACGAGGGAAAGCATACCATCGTTGTTTAATCCGCTTCTGAATGCGCCAAAAGCTCATCAGCACTATCCGCTCATTGCGGCTTTTGTTTTGGCTCATGGCTACCTCTTCTATCGCAATCCGGCGCCTCAGTTCTACAGATCAGCGGAGGAATTTTTGGCACACTTGGAAACTCATGTTGGCCGAATGGGGGCCGCATTTAAGATGCAGGGTATCTATATGTCGTCGTGCAATTTCGCAGCCATATTCGAATACAATCACCCGGACGCCGCCTTACCCGCCAAGTTCCACCCGCGAGGAATCCATCACGGGAGGTCTGCTTTGGAGACCCAACCGACGCCTGCAAAAACGTCGACTTCCGCTCGTGACCTTCCTCTGACCGAGGATGGGTCCATGGCATCCACAGATGGTCGAAGGTATTCGCCACTTAGTCTCTACGCCTCGTGCCTGACGTTTCAAACATTGTCTGTCCTTCTTGACCAGATCGGAAATAAGAACGTTTATCCCACAGTGCATATCTCGATGGCCTTCCTCTGGTGCCTAGCACTTAACGGCAGAAGCAGCATGGAATACATCGAAGCTTTCGTTCCGTGGAGAAAGATCACCACCTTTCTCAATACCATGATTCGCGATGATGCAGATATTCGAATTTTCGAAGGTCCCCATTTCCCTACTGTAGAAGAGAGGAGACAATTGCCGGAAGACTTTTTCATACGTGGTCAGCTCTGGAGTCAGCACTATTTCCCGCCTCGTTTCTTTGAGGATTCTCTCATTGAAGATGAGGGGCGTTTCATTGAGCTACCCTCTCTGAACGTTTCCAGGATGTACAGGTGCCTTTGGCTGGGAGTGAAACTGGCGACGGTATGTCTGAAGGACCGCGGCGAAGGAGCGGTTAAAAATGCTAACAAGGTACAGTTCCAACGTTGGATGACATACGACCCGGTCTCCCGAAAGTTCTCGGTGACACCCTTTGCGCTTCGACTTGAGAAACTTGCGGAGCAGCACAATCCCTTCAAACTCGCAGCGCCGCAGCCGGGGCCCCATGATTTGGAAATGCCTGACACTTGAGGGTTCAGCTTCTCTCTTACGTTAAGTGTAACACAATTTCTTCAATCGGGATCCTGGGCTGTCAATCAGAAGCTTGTCAGAGCCCGGAATGCGACGATACCAACCAAGGAATATCGCGTGTCATCACTGGCTGTACATTACGGCCAAGCAATTGAATAGAGAATGGGTCGTCCGCATAAATGATGTCCACCAATGATAGGATGTCCATGCCAGACGTGTACATCTACCTTAGTTATCTCCTTGTACGTGGTACGTAGTAGATAGTGCGTGGCCGTATACGTAAGTGCCTGTTGGCTGTTGTGGGGTTGAAGCATCGCGGCCCGTCAAGGACCACCTATCTAAAAAAGGATCCAAAGGGTCGGATTATGCAACCAGCTATCTACTACTCACTAAACCCAAAACCAAAAGGACAAGTTGGCTATCCGGTCCTCCGCCCCAAATTTCATGGCATTCCGCGCATGATGGCCATTGTCTGTAGCGACCTCAACGATCAATGCAAGCATTACTGACCAGACAGGCTCCGTGTCGCATGGCCGACCAACCAGGGATCGTCTTGACCTGTTTCTCCAGCGCCTGAGCTCGTCTACTGCTACTGTGATTATCATTGCAACGTCTTTTTCTTCATTTACAAACGCATCTATCATGTCCATTATGGCCGAGGAGTCGTGGATTGGGACGTGTGCCCATTGCACAAAGCTGCTAGCCAGCGTGCCTCTTCCTGTCCTCCTGGTTGCCGTATCCGCGACCCTTCTAGGGTCATTCATTCTTGTATGCTCTCCTCTCGGCTTTCTTTCCTCCTATCCCAAATGTTTGGTGTTGAGAATTACTGACATATTCCCGTGCAAGTTCTACGTTGTCCTTTACCTAGTCGCACCCGAACCGCGAAAGCCATTACCGGAGGAGAAGCGATACCGCACCCTTTCCGAGGATGGAGCAATCACTCAACCCGAACAACTGCCCTGCTGGCAGGACGCCCTCGACCGGCAGAAACGTCCCGGTCGGATCTTTGACCATTCACATATGGAGAAGGCGGAGCTATTCATGTCCTTGGTGGTCCCCGCATACAACGAGGAGGACCGTCTAGCTGGCATGCTAGAGGAGGCGGTCAACTACTTGGAGAGGATGTACGGGACACTTGCGGCGTCATCCGCCTCCGACGAGAAGGCCGGAGATGCAGTCCGACAGCGGAAACCGGCCAACGGCCATGCGAACGGGCATGCCACGACAACGGCAACACCTAGCGGCAAGTTTCCACCTGGGAAGGGCTGGGAGATTATCATTGTCTCCGACGGGTCCAAGGATAAAACGGAGGAGGTCGCGTTTGCTTTCGCCCGCGACCACCAGCTTTCGTTGCATCCCAAGGGGTATGCTGGTCCTTGGACGCCGACGCCCCATGAGGGGGTCCATATTCCACCGGGCACGATCCGTGTGGTGACTCTGGCCGAGAATCGGGGAAAGGGCGGGGCGGTCACGCATGGCATGCGGCATGTCCGCGGTCAGTACGTGGTGTTCGCCGATGCCGACGGGGCGAGCAAGTTCGAGGATCTGGGGAAGCTGGTCACTGCGTGCCGGGACATTGAGGACTCGGACGGGCGTGGAGTAGCAGTGGGTTCGCGAGCGCACATGGTTGGTAGTGAGGCTGTTGTCAAGGTATGATTTGTAGTTCCTGTCTGTGTGAACTGGGCAAAGGCTGACGGTTGGACTCCTAATCACAGCGTTCGAAACTACGCAATTTCCTGATGCATTCGTTCCATTTGATACTGTGGCTTATGACGCCTCCTAAAACGGCGACCATCAAAGATACACAGTGTGGGTTCAAGTTATTCTCCAGGGCCTCACTGCCTTATATCATCCCTTATATGCACTCGGAAGGATGGATCTTTGACGTTGAGATGCTTATGCTGGCTGAATTCTCGAACATCCCGGTTGCAGAGGTGCCCGTGGGATGGAGAGAGGTCAAAGGGAGCAAGCTGAACGTCGTCCGCGATAGCATCGGTATGGCTTGGGGTCTGGCTGTCCTCCGGGCTGCGTGGACATTAGGTGTCTACAAACGGACACGATAGAGGCTAAGAGATTCTATGTGTTGTACTTGGGTCTATACAATGATTGCTGCATCTTATCCTCTGATTACTCCGTAAAGGTCTGCCCAGAGAGGTATATTCCACGATGAGAAAAACACGCCAATAGAGGTTCTATATTTATTATTCTAGATCACTCACAAAATCGCGGCGACCCGTCTTGCCACCCAATTTCGAGAAGCCGAGCACTGGAAGATCCCGATGAACCAAAGACCCATATCCAATTGAGTTTTCCCTTTTCCTCCTAGACCGTCGGATAGGGCCCATATTTCCATGATTCCCTCCGATTGATCGAAATGGCAGTGAGAGTCAAAGTTTTCGGCAAGATTTTTTCCTTGCCTGACGTCGGTCGGTCCGAGTCAAGCTGCAGAATGTAAGGCAGATCCTCGATAGTCCAGCCTGTGATGGAGACACGATGACGGCGGATGTTGGACTGATTGGATGCTGGATAGTGGTATGATGCCTTTTTTTTTTTTTACCCTTTTTGCCAATTACTGACTCAATTGTCAGTCCATCAGTGCATGTCAGCGTGGAATGCTCTGATTCATATATTCCAAGCGATTGGATCCGCCCAGAATTTCTCTGCGTTTTTCTCTCTTCTGCCTATTATTTATCTTATACCCTTGCAGAGAGGCATTGGATGAGGTGTTGAATTCTGATATCATTTTGATTCTATTTAGTTTGTGAATTGTCTGATGTCACTGGGAGCTTTTTCCACACTGGGGTATTTCTAAAGATAAAGAGCTAGTTCCCTAGACGTCTTACCCTTGTCATTCGTTCTATGATATCTAGCTACAGTCTCGATCTCTTTGATATGCTCGAGGTCATAGCTTCTACACCGAAATCCGCACAAATCAGGACACGGAGTCCTCGAAATACAACCCCCAAACAGTCGGCTTTCTTTCGACTACCTCCGGAGCTCCGCCTGAAGATCTACGAATATGCCCTGGCGGTCCCTAATGAATACACGGACCGTCCGCTGATCGTCGTCAACGATCGCGGCAACACCTTCACCTCACGCGGACGGTTCCGCGCCCTGTCCATGTGTCCCAGCTGGGTAGGGCAGGACGGCACTGCCCGCAATCTGCTGTCTGTCAACCGCCAGATCCACGACGAAGCAGAGGATTTTCTCTACTCGCGCTACACCCTTTTCTTCCTGAACTCGTTTGATCTGAACCGTCTCGGCGCGTTCCTGGATACCCTCAGCGCGACGGCGCGCAGCCGCATCCGTAGCGTCGGCTTCGAGATCTGCTTCTTTGTGCATTCGCAAACGGGGGTGCCGAAGCGCATGCTGAGGGACTACGAGCGCGCTGGACGCCTGCTCATGGAGAAGCTGCCACAGTGGTCTAGCGTCTTCTTTTATCTGGATCCGAGATTCTACTATCCGTCTGCTTCGGTGGGTGGGCGCGAGCTATCGGCTCGTGGGGTCCTCTATCTGGCGACGGTGTTTGGGGCGATGAGGAAGGATCTGCATTTCTTTCCGTTGCCGTCGATTCATCGGCATGTTATGGATGAGGCGCAGAGGTTGTTGAGGAGAGGGAGTCGGTCGTCGCAGGGTCGGCCTTCTCTCTGACGGACCTTGGAAATCTTCTCTTATTCTTATTCACCGTGAGAAGCTCTGATACTTTGCAGCATATGTCATCGTTCGTTTTAAAGTGTATGAACCACCGGGGACTGCTGCAGGATAACGTCCCGATGTTATGCGCTGTAAAAGCCGACATTGAGTCTTGTCCGATCTCGGGCTGGCGTGGGGTCAATCACTTGGTGCTAACGGGATTTTTCTGGCGCAGAAGGCTCGGATAGGAAATGCATGGCGCTGGTTTGCTTTTGTGGAATGTATCATGTTTCTCATCTCCATGGGTTGCTTTCATATTGAAGGATTTGGCACGGAGGAGTTTTTTGGACTGGGCATACTCACCTCATATAGACTATAGACCGATTGGATAGATATCCGCTCCCTGTACTTATATCAATGCTATTAATGCTAATACCAAAGGAAGCAAGATTATATGATGGTTTTAAGGGCAGAATCCGCATGCCACACATACTGCTTGAGCTCATGGCATGATCGGCCGACCCCTCCCCAACTCCAAGTACTACTCTGACTCTGACTACGGGAGGGTTCGGATGATCATTCAAGAATAATAATCAATTAGAATGTTTACACAGACGCAAGAACTCACAATGACACCTGAACGAGGAGAATCGATCATCTGTTGGACGGGTTGTGTATGGCATAACGTCATCGCGTTCTCTCGTGATCGCCCACTTTCCCCTACCACCTCCATTTTGTACTCATAGTAGATTCCCCAAGATCTGATGCATACCTCTGCGATTGGCATTCACTTGGAGACATAAATATCGATTTCTCCTTCATTCTGCATCCTCGTCGATACCTAATCATCTCTGTGCTGGCACTGAAATCGACGACCTAGGTTCGTTGGAAGAACACTAGGTTACGCTCTCATAAAGGACGGTAGGAGACTGAGGGTGCTAGTCTGGTACGTCTCACACGATTCCCCCGCATAAATGTGGGACATCCATCGTCGACCCGCTTTCTGAAAACTGATATAAATGCTTCAGTCCGCGATCGTTTATCAACAGCTCCTCTTCCGGTAACAGGATGCGCTGAACTACTATCGCTGCGGTGAAAGATTATCCTCGTCCACTTGTCCTCCGCCGTTTGGCTGGCTCCAAACAACCCAACATCCGACCTCCACACGTCGAGGCAGTTGACAACGCTATCGCTGCTCTTTCTATGGGGCCACGCTGTGCCTCAGAAGATCCTACATATTTGTCCGCGCTTTCAGGCACCGCTTCATACGCTAGTTGTCGGTCGAAAATTAACCACTCAACGTCGTACAGGACGACTCTGTCGCCTAGCGACCCCCTTGCCCCCTCTTGTCTGTACCTCGTATGTGGATCCCTGCATGTGTTTTTCCTTTAGTTTTCATGCGTTGAAGATCTGCCCTGGTGATGCTGTTTTCCATTTCGAGAGGACGCCAGGTTGATAATCCTCACGTATCATTGACAACCCGCTGATTATTGGCAAATTTCGTGGAGATTGAGTGCTCAATCTCTCCTGTATTAGTTTTATTGTCTTTGAAGTTCCCTTGCTTCTTTCTCTTTTTCTCCACCTCTTCATCCCTTCGGACAGGAGAGGCCTTTTTTTAACTGGAAGACGACCCTGCAATTGTTTCATGTGAGACGGTCTGGCTACCGCCACCATGAAATCAACGACTGCAAAGGTTCCCAATGGGCATGGAAGCCTCTACAAGGAGGTTCGCTTTTCGCCAACGGCAACCCCCATCCGGCGTGCACAGTCGGTCTCGACCAGTAACCCCGCCTCCAAGTTCGATCACGGGCGGGTGCTTGGCAAAGCTGTAAGCGATCGGTTCTCTTACTCGGCTTTGAGCGCCGATTATCTGGAGCAGGCCCGAACGCTTCTCCGTCGCCAAAGGGCGAGCTTCGAGAATGAACGGGCACTTTTCGCAGAGGAACGGCAATTGTGGGAGAAGGAGAGGGAGCTACTAAAACTAAGAATATCAGAACTAGAAGCCTTGTTGAAGAGCAAAGGTACCCCGATCAATGACCATCCGGCTCCTGACACCCTTGTCGAGTTCTCTTTGCATCCCTTCGGTGGTCCGGTGTCCCCTAATCTATCTAATGAGCGCCACCGCAATCACGATTATATCAGTGTTCAGGTGTGGGAGGGGCCCAGCCCTACGACTCGGCCGACAAGGGTTTTTCACGGCGTGGAGAAGACCGATGGTCAGAATGACCTCGCGTCGATCACTGAGCAAGGAGCGCATATGCCACTCACTGCGCCGTCCTTAGATGCGGCCTTATCCCCCAAGGCTCGTGCAGCCGAACTCTCCTCGTGTATGAGTATACCCGTCCCAATCGAGAAGCTTGACAGCAAGCTAGATGGCATTACTCTCAAATCTTCAGCGCTACCGCCCGATGTCGTCGCCCGCGTGATGACACCACCATCCCCTTCGCCAATGGACGTATCTCCAGAGTCGTCCGATCATTCGAAATCGTCTACGGAACGTAAGAACAGCCTGAAGCTGAAACTGTCCGAGCTTGGGCCACCCGACGTGAATCTAGTTAGGGATGCTGGGCACACTCCCATGGTGCTCATCGATGCCGATGCGGACACAGAGCAGGCCTCGGTTAACGGTGACGTGATCCTCCAAGTCCAGGGCAAGGAAGAAGAGCCCTTTGCTCCCAGGACGACGATGGTTGGACAGCCTGCGGAAAACTCTGACTCCTACTTTCCGGACTTACCTGATGATCCGGCCCTCAAGGGGCCGTTATCCCTGCTAAATGAAGAGGAGCATGACAGCGAGTTCCTACAGGAGCTGGATCTGAAACTCCTCGATCAGGTCAGACGAGCCGTTGGTCGCTCCTCTGATGCCGATCCGGACGACGAGAAGGTAGCAGATGCGGACCCTACTGAGTCCGTTCCTGAATTGAAATTCAAGAACACGACCAATTTCGGCACTGCGTTCGGGGTCTCGGACTTTTGATAATGCTTGAGGCGTGCACAATTCCATTTGCATATTTTCTCTCGAGTTATTCAATTTGACCCTTTTTCATTTACTTTATACTTTATGATGATACACCTGTTGTCCGACGCACATTATCAGTGATTTTTGAGGAGGTCATATGCAATGTGATATATATACCCGAGTCATTTCGGTGGCCTATACTTCTCTTCCCGTTTTGGCAAACTAGGACGATGATATTGAGAGAACGTCTTATTCTCATCTCTTCAAGTTTGAGTCGACAATCTGACTTCGCGATGTGTAACAAACCTTATCTATCAGGCAGCACTGTTTAAAGAAGTTCCGGGCACTGGCGTTTGACTTGTCGTGGGCGTATCAATAACTCGGCCGCCCTTGCATGGCATCAACCCCGAGTGGGAGTATCAAGCCACGATTCCCTCTTGTCTCATCCCTTTGCCCTTCGATGTATCTTCGTTGCATCTGCATGTGCAGTGCAAATCCGGAGGATACCCCGAACACCCCTCATCTTATACTCCTAGCTATCATCGGACTAAGAATAGTCTTCATCTTGATGCCTTACATGTCAAGTGCTCGGATCTCGGTGGCTGGCTACGAAGGATGTGAAACCGCTTGGTGAAGGCATTGAACTCACTTGCACAGAAGATGAAAGCAGATATAAAAGACCTCCTGTCCCATGCTATGATATGGTCTATCTATCATTCCATTCCTTGACCTTTTCGCTCGCTGAGAGCAGTCATTCGTTTATCTATCTGAACCACATTCTTTTTTCTTCTTCGGACTTCCTCTCATTATTATATTCTATCCATCGACATGACAAAGATGCGCAACGTCAGAAAGCTCTCGGCGCTGATGTGCCTTCTGCTCGCGGTTGGCCCTACTGCTGTTCTCTCGGCTCCCATCGCTGATGTAAGACATGACACCCTTTCCAGTCTCTTCCAGTTTCCTACCCATACTAAGAAAGAAATAGGTCGAAAGCCTGGCCAAAAGGCAAGCAACACACAGCAACACCGATGCTGCCTCCGTCATGGGCGCCGGCATCCCCGACGGACCCAACTTCAACCAAGGCGATTTCTTCTCCACAAGCAGCGATGAGCACCACGATGAGCACCACGATGCGGACTGCGACGAGGATGAGCATAACGATGACTCGCCGTCCAGCCCGAGCTCGAGCTCTAGCAGCAATACCGATGGCGCATCCTTCATGAACGCTGGCATCCCCGACGGACCCAGCTACAACGATGGGGATTTCTTCTCCACAAGCAACGATGAGAGCCGCAATGCGGGTGACGGTGACAATGGCTCGCAGTCGGGCTTCAGCACCAGCACCGACGCAGGTGACTTCGCCACGTTTGGTATCCCCGACGGCCCCAGCGCTAGCTTTGGAAAATTCTTTCACCATGATTATGAGGAGACTCACTCCGAGCAGCCCGAGACTACGCACATTCCTGAGCCTACTCCGCCTACGCCTCCTGTAGAGACGCCTACGTCGACCCCTCCGGCTCATACTCCTACTTCTGCTCCTCCCGCCCCGCTCCTCCTGCCCCGGCACCTCCTGTCCCTGCTCCTCCGGCACCTCCTGCGCAGACTTCTGAAGTTCCTGCCCCAGTTCCTCCTCCGGCGCCTCCTGCCCCTGCCCCTGAAGCTCCTGCCCCTGCCCCTCCTGCACCAGCACCAGCTCCCCCGCTGATCATTCCTGTACCTGCAGTTGAACGGCCATGATGAACAAGTGCATGGAGGCGTCCTAATGTAAAATGGCTTCCACAGGGACACAGCGTGTCTCTTATACTCTACTCCGACCTTTTCTTTTCCTTCTGTTCCTGTTCAAATTTCTTGCTATCGACCGGTTTGTCTCTGTCGGCATTGCCAGGGGTGCGTCGGTTGTATTATATCTTATATTTTTATACGTTGCTGTTGAGGAGTAGAGTATAGTATAATCCAAGCGTGTCTCAATTCAATATCGCCTTGCGTGTATTCTGCAGTGGATGATCCCAAAGAGAGAAATAAAGTACTATCAGGATATGCGTCATAACTTCATAGAATCGAAAGCAGAAAGACTCCTCGCTAACGCCAAACAGCCACCAGAAAAAGCACAACATGTAATCATACACCCATGGTAAAGTCATGCTCAATCCCGGGGGTCACACTAGCGATAAACTTCAAAAACACAACCAGGTACTGATCAACCCGAATAGCAACCTGGTCTTCCTCATCATGCTGCAGCACCTCCCACTCATCTCCACCGGCCGCATGCCCCTGCTGCTCATTCAGCGATAGGCCCGCGTCTCGTCCACCAAGCCCTCCAGCCCACGCTCGGAGTTGATCCTGTTCGCCTCGGCCGCCGAATGCGCCTGCTTGAGCTTATCGCGGCGGATCTTGAGGGCTGCGTCGGCGCGGTCGAGGAGGGTCTTCATGACGGAGGCGTGGCGGCAGGGGTGCACGGAGGCCATTTTCACGCCGCCGTCGAACCAGGGGAAGTCCTCCAGCGTCACGGTCTTGTCCTTGTAGTCGCCGACGATGTCCTCCATCATGAGATGCGGGGGGAGGGGTTCGGAGGGGGAAAGGTAGCCGGACAGGTAGAGGCGCGGGGTACGGTAGAAGTTCGAGTATGTGATGTAGAGATTATAAGTGCGGATTGGCCTTTTAGCAGCATGTCAGTAAACACAGCAACCAACTTCACCGTCATTTCATGTGCTCAGAAGGCAAATAGTACGTACTGCGTCGTCGACTTGCCCGCCGGCTCCCGGATGATCGCCTCCTCGTCATCATCATCGTCCTCCATATCCGGGATCTCCTCCTCGTCGTCCTCCCGCTCGCCCATATTCCCCGATTCATCCACCGTCCGCACATCCTTTATCCGCTCCGCCTGCTTCTCTGCCAGATCGCGGCCCCCGCCTGTACGCAGCCACCCGTCGCCATCGTCCGCGTCCGCACCGGACAACATATCCCGGACGATCTCATCCTCGTGGCCTGCGTCGCCGGCGAAGTTCTCGTTCAGGCGTCGGTGGCAGGGGACGCCGCGGGTGACCAGGAACTGCTTTCCCGGGGGCAGGTACGAGACTCGCTTGGCCGGGGAGGAGGCGTCGGCCCAGGCCCACGTCGGGAACTTGTAGACGAGGTAGTCGCCTGCCAGGACGAACTCCTCGGGGGTGATTTGGCCGGTGGTGCGGAAGGTGGAGGTGCGGGAGACGGGGCCAGGCGGTCCCGCCAGGTTGATAAGGTGGAGTGGAGGATGTTCATTGTTGACTGACTGCGTGCTATTGCGTGCTGATATCTATTTGGGGATCCTTAGATGATGTTCTTGGAGTCTGTATGGATAGCGTGTGTTGAAGTCAAGTTGTGTTGAGATTGAAGATTGGATGATCATCAACAGAAGTGGCGGAGAAGCAGCTATCTCTATGTTCCTCACGCGGGGCTACATCATGTGGCTTAGGCAGCGTCACAACCACCAACCAAACAGAAATCACGGGAAAGATAAGAGCTCAGTAGTAATCAGTTTGTCTAGAGAGTTATAACTATATTTAAGGAGGCTGCCAAATGATCAGCTTCACCTGACTGACATGACACTGATAATGACGCAATCATGTCTTTCGATGTTCAGCCTTCTGTATGCTTGTATGGATTCAGTCCCTGTATCCCGCCAGGGCACAATAGCGAGCCAAAGTTGCCCGCGCACTCAATAAGAGGTTCCCTCAAGGTACACAACATCATGAGTGATGGCATGGGTTTGTGCTTGGGTACTGTGAAGAGGTCGTCCATGAGATATCCCAGTATTTAGCGACCGCAAGCCCAAGCAAGGTCCGGATGATACAGAGATCAGCTTGTCTGCCTGTGGGGCTTTTGGAACGTAGAGCGTACTGTGACCCTCACGGCAGCTGAGATCCTCTGATTGATCGAGTTGGATAAACCGTGACACTGTCAGAGCTGTTATTGCACGATATCACTCGCCCTCCTCCATCATCTTGCGTCGTTCAATCTCAGCCTCCAATTCCTCCACAGTCATCGGCACTGTCCGTGTCGACCATTTATCGAGCTCCGCCCTCGCAAATCCTTCCAAGCTCCCCATAGCCACAACCAAGAACCCCAGCTCCTCCCGATCGACGTCAAAGACCTCCCACCACTCCCATCCACCAGCTTCACACCCTTTTCTCGAGCAGCGAGGTATATAGCCGCGACAGCAAGCGCATTCGGCTGGTGCGTGACGTAGAGTAGTTGCGGCGACAGCAGAGATCCATTCAAGTGCTCGAATACCCTCCGGCCCACATCTGATGAAGAAACGCCGAGGGTCTGCAGGTAGGTCAGGGCAATTGTATGCGGTAGGGCGACATGTGTGTTGAAGCCCAGTGTGCGAAGGATGACCGATTCGATTCGGAGGAGGACGGCGCGCTGCGTCTGGTAGCCTCCTTCAGAGAGGACGTACGTTTCCGGGGCGGGCTTATCGGTTACTCCTCTGGGACTGACGAACCACAGTGGAGACGCTTCTTTGGACAAGAGGAAGTTGTAGACGTTGAGGACGGAGCGAGGTGAGGTCGGCTGGAACGAAAGCTTCGCGGTCAGGTACAGAGCAGCGGCGGAGACATCCTGGGAGAGTTTGTATCTAGTTAGCTACTAGGACACAGCAATTGAACCTTACAGGACAAACCTTCACTGAATAAATACGCATGCTTCCCCCTTCAGGACCGATCCAGAATCGGGTGAAAGTCACGATGGCTTGCGCAATGATATCCTGCGACAAGCGCAGGAGGATGCCAGCTGCGTGGGTAAGCTGTGCGCCCGCAAATCGGAGGGACGCCTCGAGGTCGGGAGTGACGCCATCAATGGACGATGAGGAGCTAGATAATTGCTCGGGAGTTGCGAGTGCATTGGAGAGATGTTGCAACGCAGCTGCAGCTGGGGGTGCCATGCTGTGCTTGGTCTTTGTGGTGGTGGTTTTGTGAGATGATTGTAAAGCGAAAACAGGTGCGGACTGCGGACTTGCTGCTGCGAAGATTCCATGGCAATGGAGCTCCCGCAGTTTACAGCCATTCTACCAAAACAATGGTCTTATACATTACTTTCCATAGATCAATGGTTCTATATCAACTAGGAGGCTGTTACAATGCATATAACTATGTCAGTGTACATTACGTTCAGACATTGCGAAATATCCCCCGTTTGAGATGTTCGCTCTCTCCATCCTCTTCCACCATTCGCCGGAAGATCCCATTCTTCAGCTGCATGAGAACCTGTGGAGAAGCGAATTCTACCACTTTACCTGCGTCGAGCACCAGAATCCGATCAAAGTCAGCCACGGTACTGATCCGATGCGCAATCACTAGCATCGTTGTTGACTCCCACCCAAAGTCGGATCTGATAGACCTCTGGATCATTTGGTCAGTAGCAGTATCTACCGCCGATGTGGCTTCGTCCAGCACAAGGATCTTGGGTGCAGAAAGCATGGCACGAGCCAAGCAGAGCAGTTGCCGCTGGCCCTGCGAAAGGTTCGATCCTCCGCCGGCGACAGGGGTGTCGAGTGGAGAAAGATGCGTCTTTTCTTGCAAAGATTCTGGAGATGATGACTGGCAGCCGGGCTCTTTAGCCGCTGTTTCCCTCGCCGGCGAGGACCTGCTACCATCTTGTGCTGACCATTGCACGCGATCCAGGACAGCAAGCAAATCGCTGTCATCGTGCTCTTGGAAAGGATCGAGGTTGGACCGGATCGTGCCGGCGAACAATGTCGGATCTTGCGGGATAATACCCATTCGACGACGCAGATGATGAAGCTTGATCTGGCTAATGTCGACACCATCGATGAGAATGCGCCCTTCCCGAGCTTCGAGAAACCGGAAAAGAGCCAGCGCCAGCGACGACTTGCCCGCTCCGGTACGACCTACTATACCAATTCGCTCGTTGGCCTCGACTTCAAAGCTTACACCACGGAGAACCAATGGGTGATTGGGTGCGTAGCCCACTGATAGATTTTCGACTTGCAAACGGCCTTTGGACGGCCATGCTGCCGGGGCATCTTGGCCATCGTATCGTTCTGTCTTGATGTCAGAGTACTCCAATACTCTCTCCACGCAGTTCATGTCCAAGTCGAACATGACATACATTCTGATCGCCATGGCAAGTGCTGCGCTCAGCTGAATGATAAAACTGATCGCAAATCCGGCTGATGACGCTTTCAGGTCTTGCAGGAGAGTGAATGTCATTGCCGCTGCAGTGGTAAACAGAGCGCCGTTGATGTTGATACGGAGATTAAGCCAATGATTCAAGAGGCAAAGATTCCAGTAGACACGAGCATGTCGATCGATCAGCCCATGCATTCTATCGACGAATGAATCAACCCTTTGATAGGAACGGATCGTCCAGAGCCCGCTAAGTGAAGAAGCAAGCAGCTCATAGATAGGACTTCGGCTTATACTTTCGAGACGCTTCAATTGTCGTGCGGCCACCAGATATTGGCGGGCGTACCAGCCGCACACCCACGCTACAATTCCAGAGAAAATGATGATGATGGGACTGACTACTATTCCAGCAATGACAGCGCCTAGTGCTTGCATGCCCTCACCTAACAGAAGCGTTATATCGAACCCCAGACGCGAGTCAATCATGTTGAAGTCTGCCGTAAATCGGTTCAAGATACGGCCTAATGGCACGGTGTCCAGCCAACGAAGTGGTGCTCGGAAGACGGCGTGCAATACTTGGCTGAAGAGACGTCGCGAAGCCTGAAGCGATGCAGTGAGTGCAAGGTAGGACCTCAATGAGCCTACTATCCAAACAATGACCGACAGAGCGATGTATACTCCTAGGTAGAACCGTAGCTCAGGCGATACTCCAGACGAGGCCAACAGTGAACTTTTCTGCTCACTCCATAAGCCCAGCCATCGGCCCTATTGAAAGGTCAATTAACGTTTCCAAAAAGTATTTGAAACAATGTGATCAAAATAGCAGCAGGGAAGGCTCACTTTTCCGAGCGCCAGGCCAGTATATGTGGCAAAGCAGAGAGCCAGCACGACCCATGCGCGCAATCCGCCGCATTTCTGGATGTATCCACGAAAGACGCTCAAGGGAATGGCCCCTTTTTCAAGCGTTTCCTCTTCGACGAAATTTCTCGGACGCTTAGAAACACCTGAATGCTGCGCTAACCGAAGATCTGCCGGGCAGCCTCGACAGCTTTCGTTGGAGCATGCTAGACGGTCCTGGGGCCCCGATGCTTCGGGATTCTCATACACAGCTGCCGTATTATCCACATCGGACTGACCGCCGAGAAGCTCCTCAAGTACGCTGCTGTGTCGCATCTGAGTCAAAGATCCAGCGAATATGAGATTCCCGCTGTCTAAATAAGCCACGTAGTCCACCCGCGGTAGACAGAGTCGCACATGATGCGTGACGAGGATCCTAGTCCGGCGAGTTGCGAGTTCGCCGGTTAGAGCATGCTCATACAGATGTTGCGCGGTGTGAACATCAACCGCGCTGAAGATGTCGTCCATGATTATGATGCCTGCGCGGCTGTAGAGAGCACGGGCGAGAGAGATGCGTGCTTTCTGGCCGCCGCTCAGATTCACTCCGTTCGGTCCGACCTCAGTGAGGTCACCATCTTCCAGGATCTGCAGATCTCGGACCAAAGCACATGCGAAGAGAACTTTCCTGTATCGTTCCCCATTGAACGGCATCCCGAACAAGATGTTCTGGCGGACCGTAGCTGCTTCTATCCACGGAGTCTGAGCAATATAAGCCGTGGCAGAGTCTAATATCCAATCTTCCCCGGGACGAGGAAGCTTGTACATGCTTCTAATTGATGGCGTTTTGACTGTACCTTCCAGAATTTTGCATTCGCCAAGTATGGCAGCGAGCAACAAGCTTTTGCCAGCGCCTGTTCGGCCACATACAAGGCTCAATCCATGTTCAGGGAAGTGTACAGTCAGGTTCCGCAGCACAAAGGGTATTCCTGATGGAATATCGCTGGCTCGAGCACCATCTGGCCAGGCGACTGTGGCGTTATCGAAGCGGATGCTGGGCGATAGTACTGTAGAAGAGTTTCGCTCAGGGGCGTCCAGAAAGCTGCCAATCCGCTTCATGCTGATCAAGGCATCCGTTGCGTTTGTGATTAACTCTGGAAGGGTGGACAAAGCAATCTCAATCGAGGTAAGAGCAGAAATCGCGGTAAAGGCAACAGATGCCGTAAGTTCTCCATGGCTGATAGCGTAAACGGAGAGAGATGCTACAGATAGAAGGATTGGGGCCAGAACCCAAAGGGAGAAACATATCACATTCCACCGAAAGCTGGTCGCCTGGGCAAGCAATTCTGCATCCCTGAGTTGGTTCAGCTGTTCTTCCCACCTATCCTCGGCCGCAAAGAACTTGATTTGTCGTATACCACGAAGGGCCTCCGTCAAAGCGATGATTTTGCGGTCACGACAGGCCATCAGGTCCCTCCCTGCCTGAGTATATCTAGCCATACAGGCGTGATTCAGAAGCATGAGGAGGGCTAACGTAGTTATTCCCGCCAAGAGGCTCTTCCAGCCAAGGACGTGCTGTAGGAGTCCGCACGCGACTCCAAGTTTCATCGGCGCTAACATAAAGCTGTAGAGGAAAGTTGCAATTCCAGCGATTCGTGGCACATCCACAGCGACAAGATTTACAGCAACTTGTGTACCTTGAGCAGAGTCTTCTTTCCCGTTGCCTTTCAGATCGCCCTGACTCGATGCTGTCAAGTGCAAAGCCTTGTTGAACATGACAGCGGAGAGCTGTTCGTACACTCTGATAGCAAGTTTATTAGAAGCAATCCAACCAATCCAAGCCTCAAGCCATGCGGATAGACTTGTGCATATCCCCAATGCCAACACCCAGAACCAAAGATCTGCAGTAACATCGTCCGCCCCAGAGCGTTTCTCGAGAATCCGAAGAATTTGAAGAAGGGAAAGATGGGTCCGAACGCAAGGAAGCTCGTCGGGACTGAAAGAGCAAGCTGGTACAGTAGATGTCGGCGATTCGAGAACACAAGGACTTTCCATAAGGGCATGCTGCCTTTTCCATGGCATGAAGCCTCAGCGTGTGATTGCGCGAAGGATCCTTGAAGGTTCTCGGCTCGGGTGTCAAAATCCAACTCCGGGAGATGGTCAATATCACCGCCACTTTCGCGAGAAATCTGTCGAATTAGGAGGTTAGTCCAACTGAACGTCGCTCGTCCCAGAAAGGACGTAGTATGCTCTCTGTCGACCACGGTTCCATGTCGGTATACATCAGGACGTCGAGGCAGCGAGAGGCCTATGATCACGATCAATATCGCTGCGCCAATTTCCACACCCATTGTATACGAATGGGCATCATCCAAAAGGCCAGTCTTGTATCTTGCGAACAGCTCCCATGCAAGGCTAGTGACGGTGACCGAAGCACTGAGAGCTTGCTTCCATCCCAGCGAGTACCGAGCCGTGGGCGAATCCTCTATTGCAAGGGCTGTTGATTGAATGAGTTGAAGAATCTAGCAACGTTGATCATTAGAGCCAATGCCCCGACATCAAGCATACGTGAACATAGACAGCAGTTACTCACCCAGTGAACGATCTGTGCCCAAATGTTGAAGGAAAACATTGTTCCAGGCACAACCGCCCGCGTTGAAGCTGTTACACCCCGCTGATGACAGCGACTACAATGAACATCCTCTCAAACTTCTTCTTGGATGCGGCAATCGACGCTCTGTCCGCTTCTCCATCTTGATCGACGTAGAATTCGCAAAGATACCGGCTCGATCCATGAAAGCGCCTCACTGCGGACTCGAGTAAGGTTCGAATGGCAGGAGCCGTCAGGAGAATAACCAGAGCGGTGCTGCTGATGTCAGCTATCAGACAGAAAGCTGCCAGTGTTTGCATGACGGCAGTCTTCGCTTAGCCACTCATTGATGCGAAGCTCAGGTTCGATTGTAGTCAGGAACAAACGCCACCGTTGCCTACATACAGACAACCTTTTTCGAACATGTCGAATAGGGCAATGAACGGAGAATTAACCGTTAGATGAGGGTATGACATGTTAAGAATGCAGATCGCCCATATGGGCTGCATATGCGTCGTATCGTCATGGTTGACGAGACCCAGGGAAGCAAACAAGGGAAAGAATCCGAGGAATCTTGACTCTGGATTTTGGCCTCGTGAGTATGCCACTGCTATCCACATCGAATAGCTGTCGCAACTCGCAGTCACGATAGCGCGCCCTCTGGTCTGGTCAACAAGGTCAGTCTTCACACCAGTTTGACCCAGTTGCGCGTGGAACCTTACAGCGCCACCCATAGGAATGCGGCCCCGTATGTACTCATCATGTATTCAACATACAGCACTATATTAAGCCTCTCCCTTTGCATAGTCAGCTGCCTTTCATGTGAAGGTCGTGCAGTCACTGAAAGTTCCGGTGACTGATACAAGGGTACATCATCAAGTCGCGACCTCTCAGAGGGGGCTCGGAGAATAAAATGAGAGATCAATTCGATTCATGCAAGTAAGTAGAGGCGGAAGCAGCGAGCTTTCATGTCGGAGAGCTCTGCTCAGCAATTCACCTAAAGACTCCCTCAAATTTGCGGTAGGACGGACATTTTCAAGTCCCTGCCACAAAAAGCAGAGAAGCAGAGGAGCAATAGCATCCTGTGTTGGTGGCTGCTTCAACCGAGGATCTAGCTGAGAAGCTAGAGGCCATCTGGCGTGAGTTCATCGAACATCGAGCATCCACAGAAGCGTGATACTGGGGGCAATTACTTAAATTCCACGACTGAACCAGGGTCTATCTAAGAAATTGGCTGTTTTCTGCGGAAAGATAGATCAACGATCGAGCTTCGCATCTGATGAGCGGCAGTACTTTAGTGTCAGGGGAACCACTAAGCCGCAACCATGGATGTCCAAGGATGACATCCATGATCCATGGTTATCATAGATATTACCGGCTGCTTGTCACTCGTTAGTCTCTATCAAAAAGAGTGAAACCGCGAGTGTGCGGCATCGTCAGCACGTCGTTTGATCAATCTGCCGCGGCCCTCCCGCGTAAAAAAAACCCGCACTTCTGAGCCTTGAAGAGAGCACCAGCCATCGCCTCACTTATGACATTGACTATGGTAATCTTCATTACGTTGCCAGTGGGGTCTAGGATCCCATACAGAAGTGACGTCGTCCCATCGACGAAAAGAAAGTGGTCGTCATACGCCCAACATAAAATGATCTGTCCTGGAAGAGGCAAACAAAAGTAGCTCAGTCCACGCGGCTTGAGATGAAGGGTCAAATAAATCTGGGAGTCAATAGGTGATCTTGTGGAGCAGGAGGGAAGGGAAGCTGTTCCATCCCCAGCCACCGCATTTTCGGTGATCTGCGGAGGGCAAGTCTGGGCAAGTCCAAGGATGATTTTCGTCCTCTTAATTGTTACTCTCCATCGGCGCTAAACCACCAGCCTCGCGAAATCCACGGTCGCTATTAAATTTAGGGGAAAGCTCTCCAAATAGCATCAAACTAGCCACACACTTGCATGCTCGACTAGAGACAAAACGAATATCTGGATGTTTCAATAATCTAACGGATTGGACATTGGAAACACTACCTCAAAGGCTACAACTGCTCGCGGTATCTGGACCATCCATTATCGATACTAGCCCTTTCTCCGATTCTCTAGTCTCCTCCTGGACCTGACAGGGAGCACGTGTGGGTTCTCCTGATTGCTATCGCTTGGCGTTGTGATCATCGCCCATCCTCCAGCCTTAGACTGATTACTCTGGCTACCTTTCTTTCTCTAACTTCCTTAAGGCTGTATTGACTCATTTACCTTGGATCTAAGCCTTCAAGTTCTCCAGGTGGCTCATATTATCATAGCTGCACCGTTTTACTGACATCTCCCCACCTTTACGAAGATCTCTCGGCCATATGTGAGGGGCTTGAGTACAGAGTAGTCGAATCTGTGCGTCCCTATTCTTGTTTTCCGCTTCAATGGTTGACGTGGGTAACCGTGTATTATTGGGCTGAACGGGCAAGTATCGACGTGGCATTCCAGCCGTTGTCCAAGTGGTGCAAACGCTTGCATACCTTACCCATTCCTGGTCATATCCCCTATCACCCAGTGACCAGTGACCAGTCAAAGCTTGACCTCCACGATGCTCCCGGACTGTGATCACTCATCGATGCTAGGCTCGACTGCTGCCGTCATTGACAACCTCGAACCTACCTCAATTCCAACTTCTTCTGTTGCTCAGGATAACTGCCGTCAGTCCGACGAAGATCTTCAGCCCTCCCACCAGAACGCGGTGGACGCTCCTACAACTCCCTCATCACAGATAACCGATACATTAGCCCCACTGCCGGAGAGCAACCGTCTTACCTCCGCGCATACATCTTTCCACCGTCGGGCAAACACTGAGATTATTCGCCGGCAACCCCACCTATCCGTCAAGCAGCTCTTTGCGGACCAGCCCAAAACATACGAAGACTTAGTCGACGGAGACAGGTCCTCGAGTCCGGCGTCGGAGAATCCTACTAGAAAGACACTCGAAGTAGGCGCGAGACTCTTGTCGGGTTGGTTTCAGGGCAAGTCGGAGCCGGTGAATCTGACCATGGTGCCCCAGTCGGCGGACCAGGATGCCCTGGGATTGGCACCCTCTGGGGCATTTTTGAATCGTGCATCAAAGCGGGCCTCTTCGCCACTCAAACAAGTTACGTCAACGAATCCGTTCAACTTCTTTGCCTTCAAGCGCCAGGGAGAGGGCCGGCCGGAGCTTCCCGAACCTGCAGATGATGAGATTCTCAATATGGACATAACTGCTGCCTTGTTTCCACCGGAGTCACTCGATCTCGACGGACAAGAAGCGTTCAGTGCCTTACGAACCAACGCCGATAACCTCCTTAGACGGCTGCAGGCAGCCTATAAGGAAAGGACTTTTGCCCTGCACGAAGCCTTGGCGGACAAGAACGAAAAGCAGGAAGAACTGGAAGAGACTCGAACGCGGGTTGGACACCTGAAGGTCCAGCTTGATGGTATGGCGGAGAAAGTGCTCCAGCAGGAGAAGGCCATGAAGGCCATGGCCGAGGAGCTCGAGCAGGAAAGGCAATTGCGCCGGCGAGAAGAAGACGCACGTCGTCGCAGCGTGATGCTTGTTCGGTCGAGTGACGAAGAGAGCCTTTCCGACGTCGGGGCTGAATTGCAGACACCGAAACGCAGTTTGAAGCGAGCCAGCAATGGCACTTATACGAGTGATTCGGGCTTCGACTCTGGCGACGAGAGTCTCACAGAAAGTATCTTCTCTCGCCGTGATGGCCTCGAATCCCCGACATCAACGATCCCACCGTCGCCGAACATATCTCAAATTGCTCTGTCTGTCCCTACGTCGACCCCTATACAGCCGAGCGCAAAAGAGTCGAAACCGGCTCACGCGCCACCGGTGCGCCAGTCTACGTACGATCGCGTGCTGAAGGGACTTGCCTCTACGGGTATCACTAGTTCGTGGATGGGTCACACGTCCAAATGTAATATCTGCCATGGCGTCCCCGCCTCGGAGGCATGGGGCGTCCTCGGCGTCATCAAGGAGGAGAATAGAGGCTTGAAGCTACGGCTGAGCGAGCTCGAACTGGTTGTTGATGATTGTCTTAGTCTTGTTGGATCTTGATTTTGCGCCCAGACTGTGTCAGGGAGTTTTGCGAGCTAGGATATCCGGATATACCACCCCTTCTATGCCACTAATCTGGTCGATACATATATACTACTTTCAATCGAATCCCGTGGTGAGGGAAACAACACGTCAAAGGTTAGCAAGCGCACTAGAAAGATACCGGTTAAAGGACCTTAAGTAATGAAATGTATGTAGTCTGAGTCGGTTAATGAGGGATTTCAAGTGAAGAGTGTGGGATATCCCTCAACGTCAAGCTGAATCCATGGACTGCATAGTGCATTTACAACTGACTCATCTGAATATCAGCAGAACTAGCGGTATCATCCACAATTCCTCATCATGAATTAGATGTGTGGAGTGGTATTGACGGGGAAGACCAGGTGGCCTCAACGGGGTTAGCGTGGCTGGAGACAGTAAAGTGGCCAGCGAGGCGTCTACTGTCTTGGTCTTAGTGCTCTCTGCCCCAAACCAAACCTCCTCGACCTCACCTCTTCCCTCCTTGTGTGCAATAATTCCAGTTCCCCCCTTCTTCTTTTCTCTTCTCCTTCTTCCTAGATATTTCTTTTTCAACACCTTTCCGCTCCTTCAGCTGGCTGCATAGCTCCAGCTTCATTTTGACTTTTCTTTCCTCCACCCCATAATTGTTTTGGTGACACGGGAGGTCGATAGCCACCATGAGCGGACGTGAGTTGTCTCTGCACGCGATCGCATCCCCCGTCGCGATAGCTTTCGTTTCGGGCCAATTGATCCATATTGACTGGTGTTTGCCTTGTAGTTCGATTTCTTGATCTAATCAAGCCCTTCACGCCCCTCCTGCCGGAGGTGGCAGCTCCTGAGACCAAGGTGCCCTTCAACCAGAAGTTGATGTGGACGGGGGTATGTTATTGCTCATTCTGATGGACCGCGAACGGGAACTGAATCGCTGACTGTCTGTGGCAGTTGACGTTGTTGATCTTCTTGGTCATGAGTCAGATGCCTCTTTACGGCATTGTCTCATCCGACACTTCGGATCCCCTGTACTGGCTGCGTATGATGCTGGCCAGTAACCGTGGTACCCTGATGGAGCTGGGTATCACCCCTATCATCTCCTCCGGCATGGTTTTCCAGGTATGCTTCCCGTCGGCTTGCTTCTGATGCTCGGAAACAGTCCAGCAGCTAACCAATTGGTCATTGTCATAGCTCCTCGCTGGTACCCACCTCATCGATGTCAACCTTGACCTCAAGACCGATCGCGAACTTTACCAGACCGCCCAGAAGCTTTTCGCCATCATCCTCTCCTTCGGCCAGGCTTGTGTCTACGTGCTGACTGGTCTCTACGGCCAGCCCAGTGACCTTGGTGCCGGTATCTGCGTTCTGCTGATCGTTCAGCTCGTTGTCGCAGGTCTGGTTGTCATCCTCCTGGATGAGCTGCTCCAGAAGGGATACGGTCTTGGAAGCGGTATCTCGCTCTTCATTGCCACCAACATCTGCGAGTCCATCGTCTGGAAGGCCTTCTCTCCCACTACTATCAATACTGGCCGTGGCCCCGAGTTTGAGGGTGCCATCATTGCTCTCTTCCACTTGCTCTTGACCTGGCCCGACAAGCAGCGTGCTCTGCGCGAAGCTTTCTACCGTCAGAACCTGCCTAACGTCATGAACCTGCTCGCTACTCTTCTCGTCTTCGCTGCTGTCATCTACCTGCAGGGCTTCCGTGTGGAGATCCCCGTCAAGTCCTCCCGTCAGCGTGGCATGCGTGGCTCCTACCCCGTCCGCCTGTTCTACACCTCCAACATGCCCATCATGCTGCAGTCCGCTCTGTGCTCCAACATCTTCCTCGTCAGCCAGATGCTGTACTCTCGTTTCTCCGACAACCTCCTCGTCAGACTCCTCGGTGTCTGGGAGCCCCGTGATGGCTCTGCCCAGCTTCACGCTGCTTCTGGTATCGCTTACTACATGTCCCCTCCCCTCAACTTCAAGGAGGCTCTCCTTGATCCCATTCACACGGCTGTGTACATTGCATTCATGCTGGTTGCCTGCGCTCTCTTCTCCAAGACCTGGATCGAGGTCTCTGGCTCTGCTCCTCGCGATGTCGCTAAGCAGCTGAAGGACCAGGGTCTTGTGATGGCCGGCCACCGTGAGCAGAGCATGTACAAGGAGCTCAAGAGAATCATTCCTACGGCTGCTGCTTTTGGCGGTGCCTGCATTGGTGCGCTCTCCGTCACTTCTGACCTGCTTGGTGCCCTTGGCAGCGGCACTGGTATCCTCCTTGCCGTGACGTGAGTATATCCATTGCCAACCATTGTTGTGATTCTGTCACTAACGCAATCTCTATCTAGTATCATCTACGGCTACTTTGAAATTGCCGCTCGTGAAGGCGATATCGGATCAGGCCTCAAGGGCCTTGTCCCCGGTAACTAAGCAGGGGACGCCTTGATGAGTATGAGAAAGGAATCTGAATTTTTTATCGAGTTTCCTTTGATTCTTCCTCGTTGATTTCTGGATGGATGCGCTGTTGTGGCTGGAATCTACGACGGAAATATCAGGAATTTGCATGGATGATTGTATTACTGTCAGAGTTGGGAGTTCTTGCATGCTGGGAATTTTTCCGTCAAAAAGAGAGCCACAACTGTATATAGCGTTCCATTCAGTTTGTAACCATATTTAGAAAACAAAAGATTTCGAATCACACCAGCTCTGGCTACTTAGACATTTACATATTGGAGGGATTGGAAGTTAACACAGAATGGCCTGGGTTGTCGAATAGTTGGGTATATATACGAATGTATCACAACATCTCGTGCCGTAGTATATGTCCTTTCTGGCTCAATCAAGTCCTATAATCCCCATTGATAGTCACGTACTCGTGGCTGAAATCGCAGAACCAGTAGACAGCCTCTTCACCACCCAGTCCCTCCTCACCCTTCTCACCACCACCCAAATCAACAACGATCTCCAGATCCTCCTCCTGTAGAATGACACTGGCGCGCTCCTCATCGACTTGTTCCGGCTCACCGTTGACAAGCAGCTTGAGAACGGGACTCCCATCAACAGGCTTGAAGCTGACGCTCGTGCGTTCAGGGACGACTGTTCCCGGGACCACGCCCTGCGTGTACCCGATGGCACAGAGGATACGGCCCCAGTTGGCGTCGCGGCCGTAGAGGGCGGTCTTGACGAGCGGGGACCGGGCGATGGTGGAAGCGATGAGACGAGCGGACTCGTAGTCCGGGGAGTTCTGGACGCGGACGGTGACGAACTTGGTGGCGCCTTCGCCATCGCGGACGACGAGCTGCGAAAGCGACTGCGCGAACGAGGTGAGGATGTCCTGCATGGCGGTGTAGTCGTCCGAGGCGGGGGAGCTGATGGGGCGCCGCCGGCGGCGCCGTTGGCGAGGATGGCGACCGTGTCGTTTGTGCTTGTGTCGCCGTCGACGGAGATGGAGTTGAAGGAGCGCGAGACGGCGTGCTTGAGGAGGGACTGCAGGGCGGAGGGGTCGATGGGCGCGTCTGTGCAGAGGACGCCGAGGAGGGTGGCCATATTCGGGTGGATCATGCCGGCGCCTTTGGTCATGCCGGCGAGGCTGTAGGTGCGGCCGGGGACGAGGGGAGGGTGAAGGTTCGCGAGAGCAGCTTGGGGAAGGTGTCTGTTGTGCAGATGGCGCGGGCAGTCGTGAGCCAGGCGTCGTGGGTGGATGCTAGGTTTTCGTGTGCCGTGGGGATTTTGTTAAGGATCTTGGAGATGGGGAGTCTGGTAGGGCATGGCTAGTTAGATTTCCATGGCCATTTGCAAAGCCGAGAGAGCGTGGAGGAGGAATGTACCGCTGTCCAATGACGCCAGTGCTCATGACGATCGTGCTGGGCTCGCTAAGTCCGTTGCACTCGTCCACCTTCTTGCCCATGTTCACTGCATCCTCCAGACCTCCCTTACCGGTGACCGCATTGGCGCAGCCGGAGTTGATAACCACGGATCGAATGCCTTGTCCCTGGCGGCTCTCAAGGGTCTTCTTGCTGACTTGGACAGGTGCGGCTTGGAACTTGTTGGTCGTGAAAACCGCAGCAGCCGAGCATGGTGTTTCGGAGGAGATCAATGCCAGGTCCGGGAACTTGGTGTTGGAGGCCTTGACACCAACATGGGTACCGGAGACGAGGAATCCCTTTGGGTAGGATCCAGAGGACGGAATGTACTTTTGCTTGGAGGCAGGAATGGCCATGTCCAGAGGAGCAGAATAGTTGCGCACTTGGCCCTTCACCATCCTGGCGAAAGCAGCCATTGCGGCTGCGGGCTGAGCCGGAGAAACCATGTATATCTTCAAATATCGCCGGAAAATAGTCAGCAGCAGTTTCAGAAAGCGCAACTCCACTCAGTTGCTGTTTAAATTGGACTATGATAGATGGAGATGCGTGAAGATATAGTACCGGCGACCAAAAGTGACTCACAAGTGACTCAGACAATTGAACGTCAAAGTTGGACGTGGCTAGCGAATATCGACCCCAATGCCGAGATAGATAACAGAAGCAACCCCTGTCAAGCTTCTGAATAGGCCAGAAACCCTAGTCCAGCGGTATATCGTGAGATAATTCCCTCTCAGATTCCCCGTTGATGATGGAGATCCGATATCGCGGGAGTCGGAGAAATAGTCCCCGCTGGCTTCGTCTTGTCGCGTTCCAGACACGCCCAAAGACACAGAGCTCATATTATTCCAGCTCAACATAGCTCTACATCTGCGATCTACCCCCTTACTTCCCGGTCTTTTACTCTCCCCTTCTCGAATCGATCAAAGCCTTTGCTGCCCGTGAATGGTACTTGATCTCCGTGTTTCTTTTGCTGGCGATGTTGTGATTGGTACATTCTTACTAAAATGAAACGAAAGCAACCAGATTCAGCCGATGGGGAGCGTCCTGTCTCGACACCGAAGAGGCAGAGGACAACTTCGGTGATCAATGGCTCTCCAAATGGAAATGCGGACGCGAATCGATCTCTCGACATGACGCCCTCGAAACGTGTCAAATCAACACCCCAAAAGCCAAACTCAGCAACTCCCGCAGCGCTGAAGGAATCTGGCCTGAAAACTCCTACGCATAGATCAAAGGCGAAAGCTCTCTTTTCAACACCTACAAAAGCGACGGCTGTTTCTACGCCAAACCGAGCACGAAATGCCGACCGATCTGCGAAGAAGAAAAGCGCTCGCTTGTTGCTGGAGCAGGATGAGGATGAGATCTGGGACGGGGCTGACCGTTTAGCAGAGGAGATTCTGGAAGACGAGGGCGACGCGCCTGAGACCACTGTAGAGGATAGCGACGGTGTCATCCGAACAGTTGAAGACACCACGAAAGAGGCAGCTGATGGCAAGACTGCGGCGACGCCGAAACGTCGTGCAGGGAGGCCGAAAGGTGCAAAAAACAAGCGCTCACCTACTCCCGAGGGAGAATTGCCGGCACATGAGCGATATTTCTTCCAGAACAGAGCCGGCCCTCCGCGGACGTCAAATAATACGCTCAACAAAGTGAATCTCCTGACGCACGAGGAGTATTTTGAGAAGTTGGCCGGATATACGGACCCTTGCCAGAAGGAGAAGAACTTTCTGCTGGACCTGCATTGTCGGTCCTTTCCGCAGTGGGATTTTGAGTTCAATCAAGGCTTCAACATCTGTCTCTACGGTTACGGCTCGAAGCGTCAGCTTCTTAATGATTTTGCAGACTGGCTCTACCAGAGACACAGCGCCTCACCTCCCTCTATAGTCGTTGTTAACGGGCATACTCCGAACCTGTCAATTCGGTCTATCTTCGCCACCATCGTGACCGCTGTCCTAGGTGCGGATATCCCATCGAAACTGGGGTCTCAGCCACTAGAGGTATTAGAATTGTTGCAATCTTCACTGAAGTCTCGACCCTCCCAGAAACCAATCACCGTACTGATCAATGCCATCGACGCCCCTCCCCTCCGCCGAGCAACGAATCAAGCCCTCCTTGCGCGGTTGGCTGCGACCCCAAAGATCCATTTACTCGCCACGGCAGACACCCCGAATTTTCTGTTGATGTGGGATATCAGCCTTCGAGATCAGTTCAATTTCGTCTTCCACGACTGCACAACATTTGCCGCTTTTGACACGGAGTTTGATGTTGTGGAAGAGGTTCACAACCTGCTTGGGCGCAAGGGCCGTCGAATTGGTGGTAAAGATGGTGTTGGCTTCGTGTTGAAGAGTCTTCCGGAGAATGCGCGGAATCTCTATCGACTGCTTCTCACTGAACTGCTCTGTATGATGGACGAAGGCCACAATTCGGATGATGAGATGGACGGCCATGCAGGAAGAGAAGACGGGGTTAACGATGAGACGGGCATTGAGTTCCGCATGCTCTACCAGAAGGCTGCCGAGGAGTTCATTGCTTCTTCCGAAATGATGTTCCGAACACTATTAAAAGAATTCCATGACCATCAGATGGTCACATCGCGCATGGACACGAGCGGAATGGAAATACTAGGAGTACCCCTGACGCGAGAAGAAATGGAAGGGGTCCTGGAAGATCTGGTACTGGGGTGATGGATAAGATATAATGTGGTGTCTTTGCATAACTCATGATACCCCTGTATAGCACTGTATATCACAATTGAGGGACATAACTGATGAAGCCCATTTCGAAGGCTCGTCTCTGCTCAAACACCAAGCCGTTCTCTTTTCTCTCCCTGAGTATTTTACACAACGCGAATCCGATCAAGAAAACCTCGGTCGTCCTGTATGTTTGTTCCTCCATTTAGAACTGCGCAAACGCAGCCAGTGCCATCGTGGCCCCAAAACTCATCTTAAACGGCATATGCTGCGTCACAGCCTTCTGTACATCCACCGATTTGACATACTTCTGTATCGTCCGAAAAGGGAGGATATTGTATCCTTTCGAAGCAGCCCACTACATCCCACCTCCTTGTTAGCACCATCTACAACACCAGTAACACAATGTCTCCAGGAACCACATACCTCAATCAGGACAATCCCCATTCCCAGCAGCACAACCAACGCTCTCGAGAACGCCCTCAATCCCACCCCACCACAAGCCCAAGCACACTTCCCAAGCTCACCTGGCGCATATTGGAAGCGGTCAGAATACCGGATGCCGCGCGGGGGCCCGTCCGCCCCTGCTTGGCGATGGCCGGGTCGTTGCGGTCGAGTGTCCAGCCGGACTCTGAGCTTGTTTGCGAGTCGAGTCTGTAGTATGGAGCGGAGTATTGGCATTGCATTGGGGAAGCACGGAATGGGGACAAGGGGTGTAGGGAGAGGGACAGGCCGAGACCGACGCCGAGGACAGTGGAGGTTCGAGCGAAACTGCTGAGAAGACCGGATGCCATGATTTCGTATCCGAGGCAAAGTGTAGAGCTGTAACAGACTGATGGTCTAAATGTGTATAGAGAAGTTGATTATCGGGGAGTCAGGATTCTTGTTAAGTGAAGCTGGAGTATTCGCGTCGGCATGCGGAGATGGAGAGACATTGCTGTGACGTCAATGGGAGGTCAAGCTTCTAGCTAACGGCATTCGGGGATGAGGCGATCTCTGGACATCCAGGGGTTGATGCTCATTCTTATCTATCTGACAAGCAGTATTGCATCAAGTCCATGATGTCAAAAGAGGAAGTTAATGTAGCTGCCATGTTTACTGATAAGAAATGACAACGCGAGCAACTAATAAATGATGGGATACCCTCCGGATCCAAGGGCAAGTTAGCTATCATGCAACGAATGTAATGTGCATATCCTGCTTAGCACTCAATTCCCCTCATTTGGAACCGCTATGAAGCCCGAGAGACTAAGCTTTAATCCTCTGGGATCATGGTTGTCAGGTCATGTCACTACCTAGCTACTCTCCATGCACCTGATCACAGTAACTAACTATCAAATGAAGGATTACTAAGGTAATATATGCAGCTTGGCAGTTACCTAGTTCGAGACCATCTGACATTACCAAAAATACCATAGAGATAGAGTTTTCGCAAAAACCAATGCTTGGCGTTTCCAGCTGTTCCTGATGGTTTCAGGCCAAGTCCGCGGGAAACCGCCCACCAAGCGCCGTTTTTGCAGATTGGCAGATGTACGCTGGAAACTTACTGGGGAGATGGAGGGGCACAGGCATTGTGATTGGTTTACTATGCCGCGGCCGGATGGCACGAGGACCTAATTCGGCGGGGACATGAAAGTGTGGGTGACGGATACGGGAATTTTGTGGTTCTTCGGAGGCGACAAGGCACGGTCGAGGTTAGTTATCTTGACTCACACTCACAGGGTCCGTCTTCGGTCTTCTTAAGAACTCGGTTTTGCTGGGGCTTATTTTTCTTTCCTTCTCTCTCTTTCTGCTGTTTCTCGTGTATATTTCTATCCTTCATTCTTCAGTTCTCTTAGTACCGTCTTTCCCGTTTAAATACACACAATGGCTTCCAACGGTACCAATGGCGCCTCCGCCTCCAACAGCTTTACTGTGAAGGCCGGTTTGGCCCAGATGCTGAAGGGTGGTGTGATTATGGACGTCGTCAACGCAGAGCAGGTATGAGCGATTGTCAACAGGATACTTCCAGCCCTTCGACGCTAATGTGACTTCCACAACAGGCCCGCATTGCGGAGGAGGCCGGTGCCGCTGCCGTGATGGCCCTGGAGAGAGTCCCCGCCGACATCAGAGCCCAGGGTGGCGTTGCCCGCATGTCTGACCCCAGCATGATCAAGGAGATCATGGCTGCTGTCACCATTCCTGTCATGGCCAAGGCCCGTATCGGTCACTTTGTTGAGTGCCAGGTAAGGCTGCCTTGCTCCGGTGGTTAATCTGCATAGCAGCTGACATGGTGTGATTGTTAGATCCTCGAAGCCATCGGCGTTGACTACATCGACGAGTCCGAAGTCCTTACTCCTGCCGACGATGTCTACCACGTGAAGAAGCACGACTACAAGGTTCCTTTCGTCTGTGGTTGCCGCAACCTGGGCGAGGCACTCCGTCGTATCGCCGAAGGTGCTGCTATGATCCGTACTAAGGGCGAGGCCGGTACCGGAGACGTCGTTGAAGCCGTCAAGCACATGCGGACGGTCAACTCCCAGATCGCCCGCGCTCGTGCCATCCTCCAGAACTCCACTGACCCCGAGATTGAGCTGCGCGCCTACGCTCGTGAGCTTGAGGTCCCTTATGAGCTTCTGCGTGAGACCGCCGAGAAGGGCCGTCTTCCCGTTGTCAACTTCGCTGCTGGTGGTGTTGCCACTCCCGCTGACGCCGCACTCATGATGCAGCTGGGCTGCGACGGAGTGTTCGTCGGTTCCGGTATCTTCAAGTCTGGTGATGCGAAGAAGCGCGCCAAGGCTATCGTCCAGGCTGTGACTCACTACAAGGACCCCAAGGTCCTTGCCGAAGTCAGCGAGGGTCTGGGTGAGGCCATGGTTGGTATCAATGTCTCTCAGATGCCTGAGGCCGACCGATTGGCCAAGAGAGGATGGTAATTGCACTACTGTCTCTTCTTGTGATTCTTCTTATGTTCTTGTCATGATATGGGCGTTGGAAAAGTTGATATAGCGTTCTTTGATGCATTTTGCATTCAAGACTTTCAGGTACATTATGGTTAGGGTGTTCTGTGCATTCGTCCTTACTCATGTAGACAAGCGCAGAATTGATGAAGACTTACTCTAATTCAATGACCATCTCTTCCATGAAGACAAAATCTGAAAACTGGTCAGGTCACTGTCCAGTACACGGCATTTTACCCTTACCCCACCGGCACTTGTTCCCGCTGTCGATCATGCGGATGCTGCTACTGGTGGTGCAAATCTGCTTGAAGACACGGCGAATTATCCACAGAGTAATATATTCATTCTGTGATTCGATTCTGAATTCCGAGATCATTATCCATTGACGGCACTTGTGCTGGGGTGTCCTAGATAGATGTCAAGGTACAAATCCTACGGCTCCAAAGGTCTCACCGGTAAAATACACATGTTTATTTCAAACGCAGAAATTGAATACACATCCTGACAGTACGACAAGTCAATCTAACCCAAATAGGCAATCATATCTGACCTCAGCTACACGAACGACATCAAAGTCGTGAAATGAAAGACAAGAGCCCTCGACGGACGAAATATCCATTATGACGGACCCAATGGATCTTCTATCTCGGCCAGATTCCCAATTCAATCACGGGGAGAACCCCAAATCGCAGAACCAGGAGAAACAGCCCAAGCAAGAACAGCTGGAGGATGGGAAGCAAGAGCATGCAGCCTCGACCCCAACGCAAAAAGCACACAATCTTTTACCGAATACCTTCACGATAAGCGGGGGATACGAGGACAACAATATGAACCCGATCACTTCTTCCGTTCTCGTCTTCCTCTCCTCCATCCTGTCCTTCCTCGACACCTACATCCTCCCTGCCCATCTCCGCGCAGCGGTCCTCGAGACTGCGTTCACGCATCCGCTGCTCACGACCTTCTTCCTCTGCCAGTTTGTCTGCTCATGTATCCCGGTCATGATCTTTCTGATTGGGGCTATGATTGCGGGTGGTATAGCGGTGGTGGTGTTTAGCTGTTTTGCGCTATTGGTGCTGGGGCCTGTCCTGGTTGCTACGACCGTCACGGGTCTGTTTCTGTGGGGTTGGGGTTGGGCGACGTTCGTGGTTGGGAGGTGGTTGCTGAGACGGTATATGAGCGAATCTGAGGATGAGAAGGGTCGTGAACGGGACGGGGTGAATGGTTTCAATAAGTACGATGCGGAGAAAGTGAAGGAGGAATGGGCTTGAAGTTCCTATTCCTTTGGAGTGCAGGGCTGTTTGCCTTACGTCTAACCTCCCATATGAGCGTTGCTTAAGCTCTTGTATGTTTATATTGATGCTGGATACGACTAGAGCTGGCTAATGCGTGATAGAGAATAGGAATATTACCACCATGTTATTGAATCCAGCAGTCGCAGCGAATGTTATCACAGCTTCTGACTTTCCGCCCAGTCCACCCATCGTCTGATACACTCGTCCACCCGTTTCAACGCTTGTTTCTCCGCTGCAACCTCGAACCACTCCCGGTGCTCTTTCCCACACTCCTCACATCGTCCCAGGTCCCGAACCCTGACGTCTCCCAGCTCAAGGTGAATCAGCCGTTCCACGCGATGCACATGGGGAACTTTCCTCCCCGGCTCCAAGACGGCAGAGCCATTTCCCCGATTTCCTCCAGACAGCAATCGAACCGGCGATGGCGATGGCGACGGCGTCGATGGTGTATACGGGTAGTAACGGATCAGAGTCAGATGATGCGAACACTGTCTCGACCATTCATTTAGTCGGCGCTGCACGTTACTCGTCCGGCCAATCTTCAGGCGGATAGTACCAGATGCCTGGCTGGTCGGTTTGGAGGTTAGAACGTTCATCTCGCGTGCTGTTTTGAGTGCGTCGCTGATGCGGCGACCGTGCTCTGGTCTGTGTGCTTCCGGAACGAGCGATCTGGCGACCTCAGCGGGGGCGGCGATGACGTGGAGCTCGAATGCGTCACCCAGAACATGTATATGTAGCCCGGTTCGTCCGCTTCGGAGATGGGCTTCGCCAGCTCCGTGAGCAGGGAAGATGTTGTTTGCGGGGTTAGTGTTGGAGGAATCCATGCGAGGAGTGTCGTCGTGTGTGATGAGGAAGACGCCGGGCTACTTTGCAGGGATGGCCGGTGGGATGTTGGCCGAGGCGATAGTAGTGTTGACTGTGATGATGGTTTCTGGGCCGGCGGCTTAGGCCGTCCTGGATAAGAGCTGGACGAGACCTGCTGCATCGGCCGCGACGGACGAGCGTCTGCCGTCGTGCTCACTGTCACAGGCCTCGGAGGCCGCTCGTTCTCGATGTCTTCGACGATCTCGAAGCAGCAACATACTGTCCGCTTTTTTGGTTTGCGGCGTCGGTACGGCGCCGGTTTCGCCTGTGGGTCGTTGATCTCCAGAACGCCCAGCCGGTCCATCAAAGTGTCGATGCTTGTCCGCGGCTTTGGCTGTGGGTTTTGTGAGGGGCGGGTTGATCCCTGATTATTCGACACCGGTGTTGGTATCGCTTGGTCTTTGTGCTGCCAGCAGTACATGGAAGCCGAAGCTGTGTCTTTTTGAGGTCCTGTAGAGGCAGCTAGGGCACGGCGACATGGTCGGCCATTTGAGGTCACACCTCTGCATGTTGTGGCTGGGTCTAGTGAATCCGAGCGAGACAGCATGGACTCGGGTGTGTTTGCGATATGAGGCATATTGTATTATTATCGCTGTTCTCTTGTTCCTAGAATCTCGTAGACACAGGCGATGCCTCACCTATGGAATGAAATGTTTGTTGATAAACAAATAAGCGCCTATGCCACTTATTGTTTCGAGTGTCTTATTCCCGCTCTATCAGCCGGAGAGTGCCACTTGGTCGAACGGATCAGGCCGATGAAGTTTGGGATAGTTAATTGTCCCAGGAAAGTACCTATGAAACGCGGACGAATCAATTTGTTTATCGGCCTAGCTATCTACGAGTAACTGCTAACAGCCTAACAAGCTAAGACATGTCTTTGCACCGCCCCAGTGGCTGGAGTCTGCGCCGCGCTGTCGATGTCGACCCACTTGAGGAGAAACACCAAACGCAATCACCAATACCAGTACTGAGTGAATGTGTAGGTGTTTGGCAGTTCCACTGCAGATGTATCAGTCCATCCTCCTGGTCATGTATCCACGAATCCCACAGCCACAGCGAGAGCAACGAGCCACTTGTTGATGGATCCCTTGCGGCGTACTCACCGTCCTATTGTTACCATAATTAGAAACTCGCCCACCAACGATAAAAGACGAAACGCGCCTCACTTTGAATCGAATGCTTGACAGATAGTGGCCAGTAGAGTTATTGAGTAGACGTTGTTTCCTAAAGGATCTCGACCAAATACGCACCCGGTTGTTGTTAGCCAATGTAATCAAAGCCTGCTCCACGACATTTGATCCAAAAGCCACGCGCCAGCTGGTTCGTGTGCGCTCTGGTACCTCTAGCAGCTATAAGAGATGAAACCAACCGGTCTTTCCCCTGAGGAGAAACATGGCCTTGCCCTTCATGGGAGACATCGATATCCACGGAGGAAAGAGCCGTTGAAAGGTGGAGACGAGCTTGGCCTTGGTGTCTAAAGATGACTTTTCTGAGAACATCGCAGAGGTGCTCGATATCCGAGCGAGCACAGCGGCCTGCAAGCTGGAGAATCAGAACGCGACAAAGGGACGGCAGATACTCGTTGATGGCAACCTGGACGGGGTCTGCCTCGCTGGGATCGGTCGGCAGACTCAATACGCTCACCCAGAACTGCGCGGCAGAGCGGAGAGGAAGTGGTTCCGGACCTTGCAAGGACTGTAGAGTAAAGTCTAGAATCGTCTGCAGCACAGGACGCCGCGATGTGCCGCTTTCGCCGGATAGTGGCGGCGCAGAAGTAAGCGCGAAGAGGACGGAATGGTACTTCGGGACCAGGCGAGTGAGGAAATCAATGCCACTGTTTGCAACTTCGGGGTCGTAAAATCCTGGTACCTCCTGCATCCGACAGATGCTTTCGTACACGTGGACGATCAAAGCGACGGTCTCCTCGCGGATATGCTCTGGGTGTGCGCCGTGAGACGCTAAAAACGCAGAGGCAGTACCCATCACCATATCTGTGCCTCCGCTACCCAGAGGAATGCTTTTCACGAAACTGACAGTCACCATCGGCGGGAATACGTACGGGCCTGCTCTCTCAGTGAAGCCAGCCTTCAGTATATCACAGGCAGCCTCAATCGTGCTCGCATCCCTGGGAACTTCGGTCATTAGAAGCTGCATAGATTGAATGATCAAACTCTGAGTATTAGCGCCTCGACCGGAATTCCAGAAGGTAAGCGAGTGAGAGTCGCCATTGCCGCCGTCGCTAGACTCCAGAACGATTTCGTTATCTGTCCTGAGACCTTTACCAATACTTGCGATGCAGCGTAACACTAACAGAGAGCGGCTGTACGCGGCATCAGACAAATCACGGGCGGCCTCATCCCGTGCCACTATTGCCTGCTGACGGAGATAATCCAGGATTCTCTCAAGGACCTGTGCTTTGTCCTCATCCGTAGGTAACGCTTGAATGATGGCGGCGATACCCTCTAGAACTTTCTCCATCGTCATGACTGTGGCGGTCGCTTTGTGACGGAATTGATCGAACTGATCTAGGAATGCTGGGAGCTGAGAAGTCAAAGCATTACGGCACGATCTGCAGAGGTGAGAGATAGATTTGGAAGCAGTTGGTGCACAGGATGCGACGTCAAGAGATGCAAACAGAAAGGTAAGCACCAGTGGGAGCAGAGCATGGGTACGCTCGAAGTATGACTGGTATCTTCCTAGCATATCCACTAGCGTTTGGCGAGCTTTGTCTGGGATGGATATTCCCTCACCCCTGCAGAGATGAGCGAACTCGTCGCAAAAGAAGATCGCGTTCAAACAATCATCCGCATGCTGGTTGTCATCCACGGCTTCTGAAAGCTGAGCAATACAGAAGATTGCAGCCTCAAACGTTCTCCAGTCTCGTTCTGCGAGAGAAGCCCTTGTGCGTTCTTGAAATACTCGAACTAAATCCACACCCAGAATGGGATAGACGGCCAGAATAAAGTCGCAAGCGTCACGGCGGAACGAACTGAATTCACTGCGATCATCATCTCTCCACTCTTGCAGCTCCTCTGGAGTCGGATACTTGAGCTTCTCAAAGCAGTCCAGAGCAGCACGGGCGAGATTTTGCTTGGCAGGCTCAAAGTTAGATTGGTCCTCTGAATCAGCGATAATCTCCTGGAAATCGTCGGCGACTTCAGTCCACCACTCGATGGCAAGTGGCGACGCCAAGTCATCCACTGCAGCATAGCCGGGGGCTTTCAACAAGGCGTGAAGTAAGGTAAGAATCTGATTGTATTGAGGATTCAAAGGTTGAGTCAAAATTTCTCTCTGTTTGAGAGTCGAGAATGCCAGTAAGAGCTCCAAAAATGTCATATTCTCGGCTTCGAAATCGCCATCCAGAATCGACTTAATATGGGCGGTACCAAGATCGCTTATGATGAAAGCCAGGACAGCATTGAGGTGATCTTGACCAAAAATATTATCCCTCCAATCCATCATTTCGACAACAACCTGAGCTGCAGTTTTCGACAACCCAGGAACTTTTAGACATTGGACGACATGGTTTGTGGCTGACGTTAGCTGGGAGGCCGAAACCGTGTCTCGAAACAAGCTTCCACCTTGCGCGGACATCCATGACTAGAACATAAGTGTCAGACAACCATGCAGATAGATAATGAAGAATGCAATCCCAAGGTGAACTTACGCTGTACGCGTTGAGAGCTTCGATGCCCGGAGCAGGGTCATAGGAGTCCTGGGAAGCATCCTGCATGAGAAAGTGATGCAGAACAAACTCCACAACAACGAATGCATCCTGAATATTTTCAGCCGCGCGCCGAATATCGACCCCTTCGCGGAACTCGGGACTCCATTTATTGATGTCCTCTCCCAATACGTTGCAAAAATAGAGCAATGCAACGATCTGAGCTTGAGACATTGCCGGTAAGATAGAATTAAGCAAATCGACAGACCGAGCTTGGTTCTCAGGGACATACTTGCTGCCTGCTAAGGAAGCAGCTACGTTCCAGATAGCCCGAGTCCAAGGAGCACCCGGCTTCAGGAAGATGGTTGCCAGGGTTGTGGCCAGCTTTCTAACGACGAGAGGGCGCTCGCCTGAGTTGACAAGTACAGCATAGTGGCCAACCAACCGACCGAGAAGCTCTTCAACATCATGCTGGTTGAGTTTCTGCCTGCAACAATATCAGAAAGCTGGACTCCACAGACATTTCGATTAGTCGCGTACCAGTCAATGTTGATTTTGACAGTGAAAGTCAAGGCGCCAAAAAATCTCATATCAGTGCTGTTAGCACTGAGCAGATCATTAGCAATTAACCACGCCTCAGGACCTTTCTGAAGCGACTGCAAACGCTCCTGGATAAACTTGATCTCAGCAGGATTGCCTGCATTGTCTGGACTGTACAGTTGAGAGACAAGCTTGACAGGTTAGTCTCAAAATCGTGAAAGGATCAAGAACTATGCTCACCTCTCTTGCCTCATTCAAGATGTGCTGCACATCTGGAGCAAGGCCTTGAATGTCCGCAGACATGACCAGAACTCTGATGGCCCTCTTAAGAGAGCTGGGTCCTGGTATAGATTGTTTGACGAAATGATAAAGGGGAGTCACGTGTTGATACCACTATCACAAAAAAGTTAGGCGGTGAGAAGGTGGGATGAATGGAGGGGAAAGAATCAGAGGGGAAAATGGCTGTGCTTGTGGGCTTTCAGGAGGGGTAAGGTAAAGTAGATAGTCTACGTAAAGAAAACAGTGAATGTTCCGAGCATGTGACGTGGATGATTATTTCAGGGTCTCTACTCCTTACCTATACAAGTCTTAGCTGCTAATGTTTCTATTCGGCCGCGGTGGGATATCAGATAGCACCACGTTGGTACTACTTATACAGGAACATGCTCCGTATCTAGCCTCCTTGCCTGATGGGGCCGAAGGTACTCATTCCAGATGACGGAATTAATGGGCTTTGGGTAATTGGATAATTAAGGTAACTCTACAGACCTACTGAGCCTTACTGCCTGGTACACGGTACTTATAGGTACCTTAGTTGAGTTGCTCCCAGAAATGTTGTAAATTACAGAGGTATTATAATTTGCAAACAACATCGGGCCCAGTACCTAAGGTACTCCGTACGTACTACCGTAGGTAAGACACGGAGTACCACGTCCGCGGTTGAAAGTGGAATACCACATTATTACGAAGTACGGAGCATGGTCTCCAATCTCCAGCCTATCTCAAAACTCCACTAGACTAGCTTATCTTGCTGGCCACATATTTCATTTTCATGTCAGTCAAGTGTCGGCCCTTGTACAGTGTACACGCGACTCCAAAAATTGCATCTAGTCTCCCAACCTTTCCCTTCCCCCCTGGACCCCGCATTTTGTACAACATTTGCTGTCGTGCGTCATCCGGATCGCTTCTGAGAATCTCGGGCAACTGCATTTTGACCTTCCTGACATTTGCCTGTCGATGCTCGGTTTCCGCTCTCCAATTCGCCTTTGCAAGCTCTCAGCTCTTGGATCAGCCCGTCTACTACCCATCTCTCGACCAAAGCTTTTCTCCACCGCTGTCGCACGCTACGCCACCGATATGGAGACCGTGAATACCACCGAGCGCCTAGCGAGGTTGAGGCAGTTGATGCAGGAACATAAGGTCGATGTATATAGTATGATATCACATAGCCCCTCTTGTCGTTCATGGTACAAATAAGAACTTCACTCATACTTTGCTTAAGTCGTTCCATCAGAAGACAGCCACCAGTCGGAATACATCGCTCCCTGTGACGGCCGCCGAGGTTAGATCTACCCGTGAACCTTCCCTTATGTAGCTGCTTGTTCATATGACGACCACGGGACAACCCTGGACTTACAACTGCACTCATAGAGTTCATCTCTGGCTTCTCCGGATCCGCAGGAACAGCCATCGTGTCTATGACCAAGGCCGCCCTATCGACGGATGGGCGATACTTCAACCAGGCTTCCAAGCAACTCGATAGCAATTGGGAGCTGCTAAAGAGGGGAGTTGAGAATGTTCCCACTTGGCAAGAATGGTAGGCATCTTCAAGAACGATTCATTGAACCGTGAAATGGGAATTGACCCTTTTGTTCAGGACTACCGAACAGGCCCAAGGGGGCAAAGTCGTTGGAGTCGACCCATCTCTGATTACGGCGTGTGAGTGACACGCGATGCGATATATCATATTCGAATTCTGATTACTGAACCGATATAGCGAGCGCACGGAGTCTTGAAGAAACTTTAAAGAAGAACGGCTCATCGCTGGTCGGTACTTCGCAGAACCTGGTCGACCTGGTTTGGGGCAAAGACAGACCGGCACCTCCACGAGAGAAGGTCAGGGTTCATCCTGACAAGTTCGCAGGAAAATCTTTCCAGGAAAAGATTGCGGATTTGCGCAAGGAGCTGGAGAAGAAGAAGACAGCTGGATTCGTTATATGTACCGCCACCCGATCCGACCCTCGAGCCTGAAACCAACTGCAGTATTGATGGCTAACAAGAAGCCTAGCTATGCTGGATGAAATTGCCTGGCTCTTTAACCTGAGAGGAAGCGAGTAAGCATCGCCTACTCGAACTTGATTTCGTTCAACTAATAGATGATAGCATTCCCTACAATCCAGTGTTCTTCGCATACGCCATTATTACCCCTTCAAAGGCCGAGCTTTACATCGACGATGACAAGATCACCCCAGAAGTTGTAGCTCATCTCGGTCAGGACGTCGTGATCAAGCCATATGACTCTATCTTTGCAGACGCTAAGGCACTCAGTGAAGCAAGAAAGCAAGAAGCTGGGGAAACAGCCGCAAAGTTTCTCCTGTCCAACAAAGCATCATGGGCACTTAGCCTCAGCTTGGGAGGCGAGGAGCATGTGGAGGAGACCCGGAGTCTTATTGCCGACGCTAAAGCTATCAAGAATGAAGTAGAGCTTGCGGGTATGAGGGCTTGCCATATCCGAGACGGTGCCGCGCTGATCGAATACTTTGCGTGGCTTGAGAACGAGCTGGTCAACAAGAAGACTGTTCTTGATGAAGTGGACGCCGCAGATAAGTTGGAGCAGATCAGATCCAAGCACGATCTCTTCGCTGGCCTTTCCTTCGACACTATTTCTTCAACTGGGCCTAACGGCGCCGTTATCCACTATAAGCCGGAGAAAGGCACTTGCTCCATCATTGATCCGGATGCTATCTATCTTTGTGACTCTGGGGCTCAGTATCTAGATGGAACCACGGACGTCACGAGAACGTTCCATTTCGGAAAACCCACAGAGCTTGAGAAGAAGGCTTTCACCCTGGTGCTCAAGGGTCTGATTGCCATTGACACTGCTGTATTTCCCAAGGGCACTAGTGGCTTTGCGCTCGATGCTCTTGCAAGACAGTATCTGTGGAAAGAAGGACTGGATTACCTTCATGGCACAGGCCATGGCATTGGCTCATACCTGGTTAGTGCAAACACACTGTTCGCTGCTCGTCCAACACCTCTGACATCTTGGTAGAATGTGCACGAAGGCCCTATCGGGATTGGCACTCGCGTACAATACACTGAAGTCCCCATTGCCCCCGGTAACGTCATCTCAGACGGTAGGTCGTTCGCGCTCGTCATTTGTGGCTCAGAGCTAACTGTCATAGAACCTGGATTCTACGAGGACGGCAAGTTCGGCATTCGAATTGAGAGTGAGTCTCTGTCTCTCGGGCAGATTGTACCTAGGCTAACAGCATATCCTCAGATGTCATTATGGCGCGGGAGGTACAAACAACGCATAAGTTCGGTGACAAGCCATGGTTGGGCTTTGAACATGTCACAATGGCTCCCATTGGCCGCAACTTGATTGAACCATCCCTGCTCAGCGATCTCGAGCTCAAGTGGGTGAACGACTATCACGCAGAGGTCTGGGATAAAACTCGTCATTTCTTTGAGAATGATGAGTTCACTCGAAGCTGGCTTCAGAGAGAGACTGCACCCATCACTAAATAGATCTGAGCTGATCTCAAAATATAGCTCATGTGGCTTTAAATAGCAGCATTCAATAACATATACTAGAATCCATTCTGGTGATCACATAAGCTACATCATAATTCCTGTCAGTCACTAGTATGATGAACGTAGGATATCCATTTCAGTGGATGTGTGTAGCGCTTCCCAGACGTGACTTGTCGATGCAAGGAAGCTTGTGTGGGGAAATCAGGCGGTTGCGACTTGTGAGCTGCGGACCCAGACCTTGGGCCACTTCAAACAATCACATTCCGTACCGTGTGCTTTTGTTGCGATTGTCTGGACAATAACCTCTTAGCTTCCATTGCTGGATACTTCAATCTCATGTCCCTCTTATACATTTCCGATTAGGAGCCTTAAGAACGATCATGACTGCTTTCCCTACCGTTTGATACCCTGCGACAGCACCAACAACCGAGAGACCAATTGACAGCTCCTCCGCCGTATCTATTCCTGTCGTCGCCTTATTGATCCGCCATCTCTCGGAATCAGCACTCTTACCTGCCCCCCGAAAAATCCTCTGGTATGAACGGCAGAAACGGTTACGCCGACGGATACGGATATTCCGAAAGCAATCGATACGATCGGAGTGATGGCGGATACGGGAGCAGCAACAGCAACTTAGCTGTCAATGGGTATTCAGGGGGGAGAGATCGTCGCCCGGGTGGATATGGTGGTTTCTACAACGGATCCTCGCAAGAGCCTTCACCTTCGGCCTCGCCGGAGCGGCGCCGAGAGAGATGGGAGGGAGACCGCCAGAACTCATCGTCGCGATCGCGCACACGGGACACAGACTCGGAAAGGAGGCCGCCGGGCTCGCGGGATGGGCGAGCACGGGGAGAGACTAGCTGGGTGGCCAGCAGCAGCAGCTTGGAGAGGAGTGGTCCTGAGGGTGCCAAACCCGTGAGCAGTAGCGGGGGGTCTCAAGCTATGGAAGGTTTGCTGGCCCCTGCATCCTTTTTCTTTTACCTACTTAAATGAACGGGGCTTGTCTGCATGGTGGATCTGGTGGTTGACGTTTTTCAGATATCCTTCAGGCGATCCAACGCGACTGGGGCTTCGTGGCCTCCGACGATTGTGTACCGGTGCAGGTGGCATTGCAGTTGATGGACACGAGTACATTGGGCAAAGCAGATCGCGAGCCTGATTTTCTCAATATGAACCGGCAGATTCAGAAGACTTTGAAGTCTGTCGTCAATGGTGGGTCATCCCATCAGATCAATGTCAAACCAATACTGAACATAGTGATAAGAGCACCACCAGGGATTTAACAGTTCCATTGGCACGTACCACAAGATCCAGTCCAATATACAAAGCTCACAGAATCGAGTCCGAAATCTAAAACATGCGCTGGAGGACGCCAAAGCTGGATTACTCTATACGAAGCCCGAGTTGAAGGGACTAGCGACGTCTTCCCAGAAATACGATGACTTAATCCAGCTTTTCAGTCAAATCCAGGAGATACAATCCCTGCCTGAGAAGCTAGAGTCGCGAATATCCGACAAGCGATTTCTGGGTGCTGTCGAGGTGCTTCACGATGCCTTCCGACTGTTACGGCGCTCCGAGCTAGAGAATATCGGAGCTCTGGCAGACATACGCGCCTACTTTGCGAACCAAGAGATATCTCTGACTGATATCCTGATAGAAGAGTTGCATGATCACTTGTACCTCAAATCTCCCTATTGCTCCAACCGGTGGAAACCGCCAGCGCAGGATGGAGAAGTTGGCACCGCAAACGCCTCCAGCTGGACTGGAGTAGCAACCTGGGAAAAACCTGTCTACGCCTTTCTTGGGAAGCTGGACGCCACCACGCCCCTGGTGGAGGACGCGTCTCGAAACCCGGAGGCAGACACGTTTTATTATATCCGACTTCTAATTGAGGCGCTGAACAAGATGGGCCATTTGGACATAGCAGTTGACCGCATTGAACAGCGACTTCCGGTTGAGCTATTTGCAGTGGTCGATAAGACAAATGCAGAAGTCGACGCGCGTCATCCAAACTTGGGCCGGGGCCTCTCATCCCGGGATAGCAAGACCGGTCTGCCAACAGAGGCCATTGAGAAACGCGGACATGTTTTGGCGGAGTTCTTATGGACTTTATATGCCAAATTTGAAGCTATTGCTGAAGGTCACCGTGTCCTTCACGATGCCATTGCTGGAATTGTGGAGCGCGAGGGTATTCCCAAGAACAGTTCACTCACAGGTGGTTTCAAAGAGTTGTGGAAGCTCTATCAGAGTGAGGTCAGTGGTCTCTCTAGATTCGGCTTACGCCTTCTCGATGCAGTCTATCTCACAGTTTCTATAGATTCGTTCCCTGTTGCACGATTACCTGGCCACCGACGGAGAGTCCTCCTTCAGATTTAGAGAAGAAGAAGCCGATGCTAAACGCCAAATCCATGCTGGTCTAAGGGATAGGAACAAGGTGCGTCTGCTTAGGACACATCTAGCCATGACCGAATCTTGTTGACACTTCACAGAAATTGTTTAAACTTTCCGAAACAGAGCAAAATACGGAAATGCAAGCGGAACAAGACGAGTTGGATGAGATCCTCAAGACGTCGGTTCCTGGTTTAGTATCGAAAACCAGGCAGAAATTCACGACGACAGACAGCTCACGAGACGGGCCAGGAAATTCCGGAACTGGTCATAAGATACTCATTGAACCCAGCGTGTTCAACATGAGTCTTCTTCTTCCGCCTTCGTTATCCTTCATACAACGATTGAAGGACATAGTGCCTGTGGATGCGGACATTGCTCTGAGCACTTTGACGTCCTTTTTGGATGACTTTCTCGTCAACGTATTTCTTCCCCAACTGGATGAGACAGTCACAGATCTCTGTACTCTTAGTTTCATCGCTCCAGACGCTTTCACGGAAGATCCTCAATGGTCAAAAGCCTCCCCTCGGCCAGTTTTCAAGGCAAGTACCTGCATCGTTATCTCGTCCATGTTGATATTTCCTAATCTCCAATACAACAGGGCACTGTCAAATTCAGGTCAATCATATGGGAGTTTAGTAAAATGCTGTCCATCATTCCGCATGATCAGGCCTTCACACAGCTTCTAATTAGCCAGATTGTGACCTACTATGACAAGTGCTGTGGGTGGTACAAAGGTTAGAAGAGCCACTACCTTCCAAGTTGATAGTCTAATGGCTCATATATCTGTCCAGCTATTGTCACGAAGGTCTCGCCTCGCAATCACGGTCAAGTCCGCCTCAAGGCCGCAGCAGAGTTTGCCGAGTCTGGTGATATTCATGATACAGTTCGGGACCTCTGGGAGGGGCCAGCAGACGCTAAGAAGGAACTCATCGACAAGGTAGATACTCTCCCCTCTTCTGCCCGTCTTCGAACGTCGGATCAGCCGCTGATTATCCTAGGAGATTGAGCTTCTTCTCAAACGCACAGACGAGGTATCGTTAGAGCCGTACGACATTATATCCGACCCCAAAACAGTGGTCGCACTGTCCCTTCTCTACAATAGCATGGTAATATTTGCCACAAACTCAGTATGGTCCATTGCCTTTCGAAACTTGGCTGACTCTTTTTCAGCAATGGCTTGCAAGCCACCTTGCCAAGCTGCGCCGAATCACAGCCTCAGAGTCGCGGCAGCCACAGCCTGAGGCTAGAGCACCTCCTCGTCGGTGGACCCTGATTGGAGCCATGAAATCGAGGCGTGACAGCATAAGTCAGCCAGTGTATCTGCCGCTGAACCATGAAACGGCCAACGCATTTGACACCACTCTTCAATCGCTGCGTAATCTGGCCTCGACCGCGCTCTTTGCTCTTCACATTGATATTCGATGCGGCGTCATTCACATGTTGACTCGCACAATGGCTGGCCCCAACCCCCGAGCAACCGCGATTCGGAACCAACCACACCATCGCCGAACTCGAACATGAATTGGTGGCATATCCTTGTAAATCAGCCGACAGCCGCATCTCCCACGATTCTAGAGCTGAACAATGACTTGATCGCCTTTGATACGAACATTTCGTCATATCTCGGCTCCGGTGAACACTGGTTCATCACCTCTGGTCTTGCTCGATTTATTGATCAAGCATTCGTCTCATCTACACGTCACATTGGAGCCATGAATGAGAATGGAGCCTTGCGGCTGCAACTTGACGTCCTCGTTTTACAGCAGAACCTCAAGAATATAATTATTGACCCAACAGCGGAAAAGGCCCAGGATCCAACAACAGAGGAACCAGGGAATCCCGACAAGGTCGTTGCACTTCCTCGTAGTGCCAAATTCCTTGACTGGTTCTTGGATGGTGCTGAAAAGACACTGGAGTACGCCAAAGATGAAAAGGAACTGTTCGCTGCGCAGGGCGAAAAGGCATTAGCGGCAGGCAATGGCGAACCGCTCACCTATGATGAGCTCAAGGTCCTTATTGACCTTTGCTTCTCAGAAATTCTCAGAGGACCTCGAGGAGCCGATAGTCGGCAAGATTTTATGGCTGCGAAGAAAGCCAGTGCCGATGCGCTCTTGAAATTGAACGAAATCATGTGGGATTCCAAATGATCGTTTTGAATTCTCTTACGAGTTCCTTGAGCTGCCTTGCTTATCTGCCAACTACTGTCCTCTTTCTGATCTATACCCTTTCTTGTATCATCCTCCACGCTGGCGCAAGACTACTCTTAAATAGACACTTGACAAATCGATCAAGCTCGTCATGTTCATTGCTACTTTTTCGTTGAATGAAGTTGCCTATCGAATTTTTAGTGTCCAGTCAATAGACTACAATTGATAAGCCACCTGAGAGAGGAGAGTCTCACAGTCTTAGACTTCTATATCCTGTCTACGGCACAGCAACAGCCCAAAGCACTGCATGCACAAAGATAACCAGCACCTGATACCAGGTTACAGCAACCCCGAACACATCCGACTGCTTGGATCAATGGGTCCCGTGGAAGAGGTCTGTGAATACTGTATGGATCCAGAATATAGATTAGGTCCCATTATCCGTGTTTTGGTGTCTGTCTTCGGGGAAGATGCCGGTGGTTGCATCCACGAAGAGGGTTGGACAGAGCTCATGAGAAGATGGAAGTATGTCAGTACCTTCGAGTTAATCCATTATTGTTTTCTTCTTCGTCTTCTCGGTAGCGGTCGGATATTCTCTGGATCACAGCTGAAGTGGACACCGGTGTGCTGGAAGGTACCAGTTCCAGCCTCCCTACAGTTTCCAGGACAGCGTCGCGTCCTACAAACTGATGGGGCAGGTAGTCATTTCCGTTGATGTGGATTATCTCGAAGCAGCCGTTGGTGGATGCAATCTGGCCGTCGCCACGAATTGTGTTTAAGGCATTAAGACATTCGTCGAGGCTCACAAGCTTATCCTCTCTGGTTTCACGCCCCTCCACTGCAGGGTACCTCTAGCAGCTCGCTCTTTACGACGGTAGCAGTCCCCGGTTTCGTGACTGCGATGCTACCTGCATTATTTGCCACTTGGGCAGCTTCTTTCAGGGTTGCCTGCGCACGAGATAGGCCCAGGCGAACGCAGCGACGGCACTGTCTCCTGCGCCACTGACTTCGCGTGCTGTAGAAGCTTTGCCTGGGATTGTTGACGACTTCCCGTCCGACTCATAGAGGACCATCCCATCAGCGCCACAAGTGACCAGCAACGCTTCCGGGTGGACTTCGGCCAGAACTGCCCGCGCAGCAGCATCAGTATCGGCGGAGGAAACGATAGCAAGCCCGGATAGCTTCCGCAGCTCGTCCAGGTTGGGCATCATGACTGTCACCCCCGCATACCGGCTGCAATCGCCAACCTTAGGGTCCACAATGACCTTTCTGTCCGGGGACACAGCCACGTGGATCACGGATCGCAGAAAGGACTCGCACAGGAACCCTTTGCTATAGTCCGAGCAGATCATGCCCCGCGCATGGAGCAAACACTGACGCACAGAATCCACAGCGGCTCGTTGTTGTTCTTCCCCGATGGGAGTTACAACTTCCCGGTCCAGGCGGACGAGGTGTCTCCCGTTCCCGATGATGCGGGTCTTGTGGCAGGTTGGCCTGTCGGCAAGGATCTGGACCCCCGAGACATCGACCTTGGCGCTGGTCAGAAGGATTAGCAGGTGCTCTCCCTCTGCGTCGTCTCCAACAGTTCCGACCAGGATAACTGCCGTACCCAACGCCACAAGGTTCATCGCGACATTTGCCGCTCCGCCGGGATAGTATTCTGTTTTTTCCTGCTCCACGACCGGTATGTCGGCCTCTGGGGCGTTTCGACGAACAGTACCATAGACATACTGATTTAGTATCAGGTCTCCTACTACCACGAGAGTTTCACCGTCTGCGGAGTTGTTGGTCTGACAGGTCTCCATTCAAATAATGCAGATCATGGAGGACGGTGCCCAAGATGGAATATAAACTTGGCGGTATACACAGACCACACACTGAATTAGCTATTCCCTATTATCTGCACGAATACTGGTACCGACGCCACAGATGCAGTAGAATGTGGTATTGCAAAAATATCTTACGGAATTGTCGCGTCATAAGATGGAACTCCTCAGTTTTTGTGTACTGGAGGGAGCAGTCTACACATACATTATATTATTTGGACACATGTATTTTTGCATCACTCGGGGCCAGCTGAAGACTGTCTCTTATTATTGGAATAGAGTATTCTTGATTGCAAGAAGGAGATCTGCACATGCAATCAGCTCACCAAGTACACATGGATTGGTCCTGATCTGTCCAGTGGTGTGGTACTCTGGATGAGGCCACACAGGTTGCATCAGCCAGCCAGCATGAGAATGAGGATACTCCGTAAAGATCTAATATCTATCACTAGACTGAAGTGTAATTCAGTGTAAACTAGCTAGTAGTGATATGTATACTCCGTAATATTTCCTCAATGAGCATATTGCAGCCACCAACGCCAGACACAAGGGACAGTCTAGAGAAAATGGCAACATTAGAGTCAAGTAGGGATTCGATTCTATTCTACATAAATACACGTAGTCTCTTATGTCAGTATTTTGTCACTTTTGACTTGTAAGGATCTTGCAGACAGCCCAAATCCACACCTGAAGCCTGATACAGCTACACTGTGGTTACTATAATGAGCCTTCTCCAAGTCAACTGCTAGTCTGCTGCAATATCCTGAGTCTTGTCTGAATAATGACTGGGGTAGGTCATGCTCTCTGAGAGCTGCAATCTATGGTCTACATGGTCATCTACAATCACTAGGCCAGTTTCAAGATCAGTTTACGGAGTACGTCTGTTTCGAGACGGTGTTAGAGGCGGCGGGAGTCTGGTGAAGCCCCCTAGCGGCGCAGGCCAAACTCTCATAAAGACATTCAATCGATCTACCTTTTCATGCTGAATTTGCTTGATGTCGTAAGGTCAGGCTTCACTTCAATTACTCCAGACCCATCTGGTGAACCCTGAAGGACAATCATACCAGTAAAGGCAGTAGACTAGGGTGTCTTCGCGACGCAGAGTGCATCGGATGAGATACTCGCCCCGAGGAAAGCCGCTCAGTCACTTTGAGGGGTCCTGAGATTGATGGGCTATTCAATCTGCTGCTGAGGAGACACATTATCAGTGAAGTTTGGTGCATATGGATGATGTATCCCAGCTAATCTCTGATCTCTTCTCTAAATCGGGATAGAAGATTCGAATCCCCCGAACACGAGTACGGATTGTTTGCCCCTGGGGACTTTCCAAATCAGATGAATGGCATCACATTGAGATCTCGAGCCCGTTGAATTTCCTGATGCTACTGTATTTCCACCGAATTTGTGCCGGTTGTCTATGATGGGCTAGGGCCAGTCGTTTAATTTCCACGGCCAAAGCTAAGGGTCGAAGACTGTGGAGAAAATGGTCCATGCAGCATCATTCGATCCTTCGTCCGATGTCGATGCAATCAGGCAGAAGAACGGACCATTCCCCTGCTTTCAGGCCCTCGGCTGGGTCCCGGATCGCTGACCCTTAGCAGGTCCGGGAGCTTCGGTTGCGTGCTATCCACGCCGGACGTTTCAGACTACGCTTCATTCCGCTAGTAGGCCGTGGCTTTTAACCCGACAAACGCCTGGACGCCCTAGGGCTTCTGATTCATTACACGTTTTGCGCTAATGTCTGCATTCATCTAGAACTGTTCATCTTATTATATTGCGTTAAATTATTGTTTCACAATCGGGTCCCATTCACTATCAGGCAATGGCCGGTCGTTCAGCCCATGGAGGAGGAGCCTCCGGTCCCCTCCTTTTCTTCTCGATTGATATATCCTCCAAGGCCTCTCTTTTGCTCTCTTTCTTTGCACTGCTCTTCAAGTCAATCTTTCAGTTTTCTGTCTGGAACAGCAACTACATCCATTTCTGGGATTTGAGCCCAAGTGTCCATTCATTGCTTGCAACAGGAGCAGAGTCTCCAGTCAATCCTTTGCATCTGAATAGCAGTCTAGCACAGACTCTGCACTCTTTTCTTCCATTCTAGCTTCTTTTCGCCTTCGAGACATATCAACATCCAACAATGTTATATCAGCGTCTCACCACTCTAGGCGTTGCCGCTCTGGTCGCGGCCGCATCGGTCTCTGCGAGCCCTATGGTCGGGGGCGCTAAAGGTCGCTGTCGTGCCGGGTACAACAAGGCCGTCTCCCACGCCCCAACGTCTAACGAAGCAACTTCGTCCATTAGTCCCCCAGTGGAGCTCCCAGAGGCTCCAACGCAGTCCCCTGGCCCGTGGTCGATAGTCCTTCTGCTGCTCCCATCATACCCACTGTAGATGAGGATCCCGATGCTTCGTCTTCTTCTTCGTCATCAACAACACCTGCTCTACCCTCTTCTTCCGCTACCCAGGAACAAGACACCGTTCCGGCAGCCTCTGCTGAGCCTGCAACGGCCGCTCCCGAAACCATTAACAAGGCGGCCGCTGCTGCATCTTCCTCCAGCAGCACCACCCACTCCGGCAAAGCCACCTTCTACGGCGGCAACGTGTCCGGCGGAACCTGCTCGTTCACCGGGTACACACTTCCCTCCGGCCTCTTCGGAACCGCCTACTCAGGCGCCGCATGGAACAACGCCGCAGAATGCGGTGCCTGCGTCTCCGTGAAAGGACCCAACGGTAAAACCATCAAAGCCATGGTACGTCTCCTCTTTTCGTGCAATCATATCATAACAAACCCCAGCTAACATCACCCACCCAGATCGTCGACCAATGCCCTGAGTGCGAGGCCGACCACCTCGACCTCTTCCAGAATGCCTTCACCCAACTAGCTGACGTTTCCAAGGGTATCATCCCCATCACCTGGTCCTTCGTCGACTGCGGGATTACCTCGCCCCTCGTCCTCAAGAACAAGGAGGGGACCTCGCGCTACTGGTTCTCCATGCAGGTTATGAACGCCAACGAGCCCGTCGCGAAGCTCGAGGTTAGCACCGACGGCGGGAAGACCTGGCAGGGGACCACGAGAACCTCCTACAACTTCTTCGAGAAGAGCAGTGGGTTTGGAAAAGATACCGTGGACGTGAGGGTCACCGGCCAGTCCGGCGCTACCCTGACGGTGAACAATGTCGGGACCAGCGCTGGGTCCACTGTTACCGCTAAGTCGAATCTGTAAAGCACAGAGTAGATAGTGGCGTGGGGATGGTGCGCGTAGATTGGTCGCCCTCAGTTGGCGCGGAAGAGCAAGTTTGTTTTGAGACAGCACCCTGTCTGCATGCCTTTACTTTCTCTTCTCCGTATATTTCTGGTAAATTCAGACATATTCTCATGTTTTCATTCCCATCAACGAAACCGACTGATTATCATGGCTATGCCTTGTAAGACTGCCTTAAGATTGCCTCATGTGCTAAGCTTGTCATTGACAACGAGAGAGCCGAATCTTCCATGAACAGCGTTTTGTCATTTCGCTTTCGGAAAACGAGATCAAACTACGAAATGGCCTTGTGTAAATCTGAGAGAGATCGAATTGCAATTCCCATAACGCGATATCGCAGGCTCCATTCCCAACCCTGGTTTCGCCGACCCTTAAGATAGAACAAATAACACACAAGAGTAAAAGATACGTGGAAGAAGGCAGACGACGGAAACGAGAAAGAAATCACGAAGCGCCAGAAAAACGACTCTGGGCTGGACAAATTAAGGTTGTAGATCATTGGTCACCTGTGTTCTTCCAGAGGCGGTGACTTGATGCGAGACATCAGAAAAAGAGCAAGACGGCACCTGCAACCGGGCCCAAATCACGACTCCTCGCAGGGCTTCTTAGAATGAAATGAAACTGAAAACGAACTAACGGAGAGAAAGAGCGGGTATGTTGGAATCTCAGCCTCCGAACAAGAACAGATCGTAGCACATGTATGACCATGAGATAGAGAAGCAAAGGGAAAGTCATCTATCCAGAAGCGCAATTCAGCCCTCAGACCTGACCCTGGTCGACCTCGAGAGGCTCGAGCTCTTCAGCGTCGTTGTAGTCGTCAAACTCGAGACCTGCGTCGCGACAGCGCTGAAGCCACTTCTGTGCGATATCTCCACGGCGGTTGACTTCTAATTTCAACTTGGAATTCTGAGCGCTGATCTCGTTGATAGCATGACTTGTAGTCATGTTATTTTGCTCCCATCGTTCACTCATCGTTTTCTTCTCATCATGCAGCTGGCAAATGTACTCGATTGTACGCTGTAGGATAGCGCCTTTGTTCTTGTCACAGTTGGGGACCAGACGCGCTAACTGATTAATACCCTCGTTGATAGCTTCACGACGCCGACGTTCCACTGAAATCGAATTAGCTTAAATCACATTGTAAAACAGCTGCCGCAGCTTACCCTCCTTGTGATTGTTCTTGCGAATTTGGTGCCACTCAGGAGAACCAACGGACGGTTTTTGATTCATACTCTGGGCCTCGCGCGCAGCGTAGACTGCTGCGGCGGTCGAATTGTGCCCATGAGTAGGGCCCATAGCCTGACCCATATCATCGCCGAATGTCAACCCGTGGGCCAGATTATTTGCGTCGAAAGAAGGTTCGGGGGGAGGCGGATATTTGTTTTGAGGATTGTGCGCGGCCAAAGCGGCTTTGGCAGTCAGAGCGTTCTCATCAGAGATACCGTTCTGTGGTCCGACATGTTGGAGGATTTGCTGGTCAATGTTGAGCTCCGAGGTAGACGTAGGGAGACCGTGCGCATCATAGGAAGTAAGAGAACTGTGTGCGAAATTGTTCTGAGCATCTGCGCCAGGCATGCTGCCACTACTTCCATTGGAAGAGCGGTTCAGGCGCTGAGAATCCGGGCCCGCGCTGTCATCACCTTCGCGCTTGCGCTTGTTTGTGATATTGCTATCCGAGGCACCCAACGATTGGTCAGACATGATGTAGGATGCAGTGTTGTCACCCTGCAGGTTGGCCGAGTCAGCACCGGCCATGATAGTGCGCATCAGGTGACCAAACCGACCCTTTAGACAGAGCAGATGTATTGATTCGAGATCTACCAAAGAGGGTGTAGCATAAGGAACTTCCCTGTGGTTTTAGTTTTGTGAGTCGGCAAGCCCAGTAAAGTAATAGTAATAGCCAGGAAAACAATAATGCAGGGCTATGAGAAAGGAAAAAGAGAAAATTCTCTCGCTAGTAAACATCCACCAAAAGGAAAGACATTGATGTGCTGAGATGTGAGAAGTGAATATACTAAGACGCGTGAGGCTGGACGCGCTGGTCTCCGCACCATAGCGTCAAAACAGACATTGGATGGCTATCAAATCCCAGGAACATGTAACACAATTATATTGATGGAATCAATATGCGCCAAAGACAGTTGATGCGCAAACTGTCAATCAGAAAACAAACCCTCATGGTCGCATAGTCGACATCGACATCAGAAACGCGTCATGACGGTTCTGCGACCGAGGTAACAGGGGAAGAGAGGATAGCATCACAAAATCAACCTCATCCGGCTCTCGGCGGACGAGGCTGAGCTCCAGAGAGGGGCATGGTGAGATGCTTCTGGGGCCTTATTGAAGCTTCTGAAATAGTGGAGTATGGCAGAGGGACGATGCAATGATAGATAGTCGCGAATAGAAGGAGTGAGCTCACTGTACCTTGGGATGGTCTGTCTATCACCTGACAGCAAGTCACCTGCCACGGGCAACAACAAGAGGCAGGTATATCGTAGTTCGATCGCGAAGACCAAGAATCGAGTTTGATCGCGAGGAAAGACTCAATATAGAGACGTCCAATGTAAAGACAACGGATGGATCGGAATACAAAACGAACAGAAAGAAGTGGCGGCTTTTACAATAGAAAGAAGGGATATTGGAGGAGTAGAGTCGAGTAGTAGAGAGAAGCGCTCACGTGGCGAGGGACAAATAATGGGAGCAGAACAGTCGAGGAGGCGGTGGTCCGGTAAGGAGTAACGACCAGAAGCGTAGAAAAGTCACCTGACTTCGGTCGTCCAAGAACCAGCAGAATTGTCTTTGGTTGTCTCCACCGGAACTTCCCCTTCATTAACAGCAAAGGGAGTCAACTCTTGTCTGGCATTCAATATTTCTCCCATTAGCTGTCTCTTTTACTACCCTCCCTCTTCGTTCTTGGGCGTCATGTGCTCCAATCCCGTGCCCCCTCTTCTGCCAATGTCCCTCTTCTCATCGCTGATTGGTTGCGCGGATTACCCTGGCGGTTGCCGGAGGAGGGGTTGACCCGGGATCACGTGTGACTCTTAAGTCTTTGGTTATTTACCACCAAATCAGCATGACAACAGTCAAACAATTGCACGGAAGTTTCCTGGTTCTTTGAGGGACACAATGGGCACATGGAGCATACCATGTCTCGTCTACCAGATTTAGTGGATGATGCACTGACTCGAGGCCGCTCTCAACAGTCACTATTGGTCTGAAAGACAGATACCATCATACCTTTAGTACGTACCTTCACTCCTTCAGTGCTCATCCCGGTCGGGCCGACCCTCCTTTAGGGTCCTGGTAGGGAGCACGGTCCATCTGGAGAGCGCCATCGTACAGTAGCGGGATGTACGCCGATGCATGCCATGCCTTTCCATATCTCTGACGGTCTGTCTCGAGTCTCGACCGATGCTGCGTAGTTGCAGATCTCGGATACACACACAATCTGAACTTGCTTCACACCTGATATCTGTGGCTCATGCTAGTTCAGTTATGCCCATCTGCAAATACCTAGTCAGTTTCGGTTTGCCTCAAATACGACTCCATCTGACCTTTCGTATCACATGCACATCCGGATTACAAGCAAACTTTCCCACTTGAAGCGGATGGTGCTTTGCGCAGTGTCGATCAAAAGTCTTCAAGCTTACTATCGAAGATCATTCCGCTCTAGCTTCCCTCTGAAGGTTGCATTGATTTTAATACGCCTCCCTTGTTTGGCTTGACGACAGTCCGTCTGATAGATTGCGGATCAATCGGTCATGAGATAGGCCGTCATCGCCGCCATCCGGGTCCGTCCAAGTAGGGTATGGACGCCAGCCTCGCATCGGTAGGTAATACTAATATGTCCTCTCAAGGGGCTGGCATAGATGGATCTCTGCCGCATACTTGTCTAGATGGATCTGCGAAAGCAGTAGACTCTCATATTCGTGGTCTAGGAATGGTGCCTTCCAATGTCACATGGATCCAGGAGGAGAATTATTATCAACCGCTCACATGATTGCTGCCGGTTGTGGCAAGGTTAACCCTATCGACTCCTCGGGCAGCTTCGCATCAAAAGAGAAACAGATATGCAGAGATTGGTGCGTAGATTCGACATTTTTGATATCGCGTCAAGTAGTCCAACAAATCGAGCAGTCAGAGTCGAAAGCATTTGACCAATGTGAAAGTCTTTCTCGCCAATGCTCAACAGTAGATGTCTCATCATGTACACCGTCAAATACCCCAGATTGTATACCTTAGCGCGACAAAAAAAGCTGCAACCCTCACGCCTGCGACCTCTTAACCAACCCAAACACCGTCTTCGGGTCAGCTGTAGTATCAGCAAAGCAGATACCCTCTGTCGTCGCACCCAGTATATCCCAGCAAAGGATCTTCACATCGAACGGTAACTCCTCCCCAGTGTCGCCATCCTGCACCACCCCGGGGCGCTGCGTAATAGCGATAATCGCGCTCGTCCCCGCATAGCGCACCGATCCCTCCTCTCCACACCTATTCCCAAAGACAATGACGATCTTCTTTTCCTTTGCGTCTCCGGCCTCCTGGCCATCAGATCCTAAATCAACATCGTGCCGCATCTTCTGCCTGACTAGCGGCCAAAATCTCTGTATCCAGTAATTAAACGTATCCAAATCCGGCTTATCAGCCAGGGCATCCAGCTCCTCCCGGCTCATAAACGTCGTCCAGGCCATCGACAGAATAACCAGCTGGGACCTGGAGTCGAGGACCCGATTCGCGAACTCAAAAGCCGTGAAGGGCGCCTCAAATTTATACGGGTTGATATCCATACATATCCCAAACGACGTAGCCACCTTAGCCGTTAGCATATCTCCTTCAGCGGAACCATTGTTAAAGACAAGGCTGTGAAAGCCTCTCTCCGCCGAGCCTTCAGACGCCCACGTCTCATCCGTGAAGTACAGGAACGTCTTGCGGTAATTCAACAGCACTTCCCCTCTTCACTCACAACAAGCAGGGAATTATAGTACTTTTCCTGCGGCTGCGCGCTACTCTCCCCGTCTGCTGCTACTTCAATCTCGGGATACCCCACGCAAACTTTACACCTGAGACGCGTAGCCGTCTCGCGGGCCCAAGAGGCTGACGCACCCTTCCCCGCGGGCTCAAGAAACGGCCGAATGGCTTCCAGCGAGGGGAAATTGTACCCTAGCCAACAAACATGTCACCATTTACCGGTCAGATAGGGACACCACATCACATGACAGACAAGAGCCCACTGGCTCCTGTTCCTAGGTACTGGTACTCACCCGTCAGAGCCAGTTCCGGCAATACCAGGAGGTCAGGCTTCAGGCTCTCGATGCCGGCTTGAGCGGCCCCAATTACACCGCTGTTCAGCAATTCGTCGGCCCGTTTGATGTTGCCCTCGACGTCACCCACCCTGGGGGCAAATTGTAATGTGGCGATTCGCATTCCTCTGTGTTGGAGCCTAGATACCTGCGCTAAGAACAAGAGAGGGATTGCCTTCCTGGCTCTTGTCAGAGCCGAGGTGGTAGTGAGATGCCTGGTCAGAGAGGAAGAGGCGAAATGCCGTTGGAGCCGTCCAACATGAAAAATACTGTGGACCTTGGTTGAGAGAATTGTGCAGTATTATCGACTTAACTGTCCATTTCTGAGCAGTCAAGTCAGCAAGATAACTTGGATATATGTTAGTTTGGGAAGTTCTCAGTTACAAGATGCGAAAGGACAATACATCCGCCTATTGGAAACCAAATATGAGATCATGTGACTCAAAGATACCTGAGGCATCAGCACAGTTGTCTCTACCTATCTACTCAACTCTCAGGTCTATGTTTCTCGGTGCGTGAACAAAGATTTCGTTGCGAGAATGTAGGGTATTCTTATAATGCAGTTATGTACGACACACACTTCCAGCGCCCGATTGCTAAACTCCAAATGTAGCAAATACATTCCTTATCAAAAAGACACCAAAATCCGCAGAGAACGCCGTCGCATAATGCAAGCAAGATGATAGCTGTCAAAACGTATACAGCAAAACGGAAGACCGCCATGGTCTGTTTAGCAGGCGCTTTCACTTCAAAGCTGCAAGGGCGAAAGTGAGCCTTTTGAGATTAGGAAACAGATGGTGAGGCTCAGACAAAACCTATTTCTTGCCTGCTCCTTTACTTTTCTTCTCCGGTGTGAAATTCAGCGGCTTATATGCTAGGCCCTTGCCCCCGGTAAGGCGAATCCTCTGTTCCGTTCGGGACAGCGTACGTCCTAGTCCCAAGTCTCTATCAGGGGCAAGAGCAACATCGTATCCATTCACGTGGTATGAATTCGGTGACTGACTCCGGGAGAAAGAGTGCGAAGATGAAAAGCTGCTGCGCGGACTGAAAACGGAGATTCGAGGCTCAGGGTGTGTCGACCAATGGTCGAGAAGTCTCGGCCCGCTCCTGAGTGATTCTGCGGCAATTCGGGCAGCGGAAAGGAGGAGTTCATCTTCGTCAACTTGGCGAGGCTTTGGAACTTCAGGTTTCTCCTCCTTTGCAGGCTTTCGAGCTGTCATGGCTTCGATCTGTTCCAATATAGGAAGTTTGGGAAGAGGTTTAATTGAAGACAGTGCCATAGACACTTTGCGTGGAGTAGGAGCCTCAGGTTTGGCTATTTTGGGTGCCTTTGGCTCGCTCTGTTTCAGTTCTTGTCCATCGTCGTGGAGAATGCGCTTGCGACTTGTCGAGAGGGTTTGTCGCCTTCTGCTGGCCGCTTCTTTCAGGGTATCTAGCCATGCAAGGCGTCGTTCATCTTCTAAAGCTATATGCATGTCAGATAGACCCGACAGGTAACAGGAACGTCAATGGCTGTGGCAAAAAGTGCAACTCACCTGAGTTTCTATCTTCCTTTGCGGTCGGCTCAGGAGAGACGCGGGCGGAAACATCTTCTTGAACAGCACTCACTGTGCTAGCTTCTGCAGGAGGGGGCGATGTGGCGCTAACGGGTTCAGGTGAGCTAGGCTTCGTGAATACTGGCCGAGGCTGCTGTTGCTTAGCGACATCTTCCACACGAGGCGCCACAGGCTCGTCTGCTGGTGTATTCTGTTCCAGAACTGCCTCTTCCTGTGGAGCCTTCAAGCCCTCCGTCGCATCGGGCGGTTTCTGTTGGGGTGCCTTTATCTCCACAGGCTTCGCGAACGAGAAAACATTGGTTGATTGAACAGGATGGGCGGCTGCGAATGGATCTGTCGGGATCGTTAAAATTCACAATGTTTTTATAGCAAGGGCGATGCCGTAGGGCAGAAGAACATACCGTCTTTCGCTGGAGCGAACAGATTACTTGCTTGTGCAAATGGAGATGGTGCGGAGGTTGTCTCCGCAGGCCTGAAGAGACTTGGTTGACTTGGTTGAGGCTTTTCGGCTTCTGCTATTTCGGGGAGAGCATTCTGACCGGCGAGACTGAAGACAGAGCTGGAAACCTGCGGAGCAGAGGATGGCTTGCCAGTATCGAAAACGCTTGTCGACGGCTGGGCAGCAGTCGGGCCAGGAGCCTGATCAGGTCTGGATATTGACGGTGTCTGGGAAAGGCCGAATGGTGAGGCTGTAGGTGTTGTGGAGGGTTGGAAGAAGTTTGGTGCTTGAAAATGAGAAGTAGCCGATGCAGGGGCTGTGTCAGGCTTTCCTAACGTAAAGTTGTATGCTCCTGCCGAAAAGATCGTCGTTGGTTGCTGAGTACTGGACGCAGCAGGAAAGGCTGGAGTCTTCTGCTCAGTCACCGGCGTCTTGAACGGCGTAAAGGGCGAAGATATGCTGCCAAATGGGTTAGAAGGCGCAACTGTGGGCGCCGCTGTGGCACCGGCCGAACTAGTGCCGGAGAACAGGGTAGAAAAGGTCTTGGCCGGCTCGGAGGTTCGGGTTATATTGGTGGCCTGTCCAATCGAAGAACTCGGATTACTTTGCGTAGGTGCCGCTTCTGCATTTGTTGTACTCTGTGAAAGACCTGTGAATGCGTTGCGCAGGCTTGAAGCTGATGCGGGAGACTCAGTAAAGATGCCACCCTGCGAGACATTACCGTTCGTTTGGATGGCTGGCGGCCGCATTTCATTGTCGTCGTCACTCACAAAAAGGGCATCATCATCTGTGGGTGCTTCTGGCTCGGGGGCTGGTAGTGCCAGTGAGCGCTGCGGCAGAAAAGAGCTGTCGATCATACCTAGAGTTGCCGCTTCTTTTATATTCAAGCCGAGTATGATCGCAACCACGCTTCTGCCCGCACGCTTCGACTCGACATACGTTTCTGAGAATGAGTGTTCGGAAGACGGCTGGAAGGCTACGGATTCAATGAGTCAGTCGAAGTCAGATATGGCCGACATTGAGAAGCCTAATAGTATAACTGCCGTAATCCGGTGGGGCGAAAACAGAGCCAGTGAACGAAGGAAAGAAGGCAAGAGTGTTGTCAGAGATTACACGTACCAATCGAGTCAACCGGACGATTGCCCCAGTTGAGATAAAGATTACCATGAGCGTTTTCAGCAAACTGTAGATCTTGCTCTTCACAGAATCCAATCGTTTGGCTGTCGTCGTCAAAGTGTAAGACTTTGGTCAGTTCGTCGACGGTCCACTCCTCATTCTTGTGTTGTTGAGAAGAGGGATAACGACAATATCCTTTCCATATTGAACGGATAGCCGTTTGGCGCATGTGGTTGAAATAGGTTTCAGCAACACAGGCCATCAGATACGAGACAGCTGGAGAATCAACCAAGTTGAAAAAGCGTGTGTAGAAGCCCTGTGCAATGGCGTTGGGGCGTTTGGCATCTAGGGTACCTTGATACTCCCATGTGTTGCCAGCAGCGGCAAACAACTCAAGGGCTACTTGAACCCGAGGCGAACTGCGCAGCTCTGCAGGCCATTTTTGCACACGGGCTTCTAAATCCGGTCGCTGGTCGTGAATGGAGAAGATAATGTAATAGGCCCGGAACTCGTCCTCATTGGGAAACGTGATGCGGCCACGATTGTCGTCGTAATAGTACATCAGCGACAACATGGTATTGTTGAGTTGTTCTCTTTCCTGGTGGCGGTCGAAAGGCTCTTCGTTCGCAGGACTAGAGAGTAGGTGAAGAGACACAATGTGGAACCGGGCAATTCTCTCCAGGCATGTGACTGCTACCTTCACGTCCTCCTCCTGGGTGAGCTGCTGGACGGAGAAGTCGTTACGAATCGACCGTGTCCGATCCCAGACAAACTTGTGAATCAGACCAAGAGGCTCAGAACCACCAAGGATATGTCGGATCAGATAGTTGGTTGACTGAAGGAGTGCCTTCGGTGTGCGAATATCAGAAGGAAGCTGTTCGTCGTAGCCGGCAGCTGATCTTCTGAAGCGTTTCAGCATTTTCGTTTCCATATTCTGCAATGTGTTTGTCGCAGGATGAAGAAACTATGGACAGTCAGTTCTTGGACAAGCACCATACGACATCGTCTGTCCTATACCTTTTCGCTTTTGTCTACCATCTTCTGGACGATGCGCTCAACCCGCTCAAACTCGGGACACATGCTGGTGCAGGTACCGACGGGTGTAATTGCTTGATTCAGGGAAGTAGGTTGACTGGGATCCGCCATCTGCCCTTTCCTGATCGCCTGTTCCCTTTGCTTCGCCCTATCAAGCTTGAGCTGCAAGCTGTCAGTCCAGAATCTTGGGCCACTGATGGAAATGTGCGGAAGAATGTCTTACTTTTTCGTATCGGTCATTGTAACTGTTCAGAACTGCCATGTCCTCCACTGGCACAGCAGAGCCATCCACGCCATTCGTTCCATTTGACGGAAATTGTAGTCGAGGGTCTCTGCTAGAATCGACAATGCTCCCAGCAAATCCATCCGGCGCCCCAAATGCACCGGACGAGCTATTTGCGACACCAGGAAATGCCGGTTTCTGCTGCGGAGCCTGCCCACCAAATGGAGAAGAGGATTGGCTCTGCTTCTTTAACTGGGAGAAAGGCGATGCGGCAGCTCCTGCGGAAGCTGCGTTTGAGTCCGGTTTGCGCCAGGTGTTAGTCGCGGGACCAGCGCCTCGGCCGTGGCCACGGAGAGATCTCATCGCCGACGAGGCTCCTCGTCCTCGGCCACGCGCGTTGGATGATTTGGACTGGTAGGGAGTTGCTCGACTGAATGATCCACCGCGCCCTCGAGTCGCCGGAGCCGTTGTTCCATCTTTCTGGGCGAGGCCAGCGAATGGGTTCGCTGGGCCTGCCATTCTCGGATGAAGTACGGTGAAGACGATGACAATCTCCGAACCTCTTCACCAGGAATGCCGAGTCGTAGTCTGTTCGTTTATCGTCTTCTTCGGAGATGGAGGTTGATTTATGGGCTAAGGAAAGGAAGCTGGTGACTCAAGTATCCTAAAACGACTAACCGCCAATAATAGGTCGGAGGGCGTAACAACACAGTTAGTTTGAGAAGCTAATGGACTGTCAACTGCGAAGCAACACAACAGAGAAAGAGGATAATGCCAGAACTCAAAGTGCTCACGCATATCGAACTCCAAACCGGGAAAAGCCATGACGCAATACCTTTATATCTCAATTTTACAGTCTCGACGCGTTCAAGGGAAGAGAATGAGGCTGCTGAGAAGCCGTTGTCGAAAGCTGGGCTCGTCGCAGAGGTCGCCGATGGCCGAACGCTTCGACTTTGCGGCGTGAGGAGATGTGACCTCCGTGCCAACGGCCATCGAATCGCGGCGCGAACCCGCTGGATGAACAGTTAAGGAAACTTGTCGCACAGTGATATGCCGTCTGTGGAATCCTCAGTTCATTGTTATTTGTTCGACGTCGTAGACCGGTGGGGAGAGGCGATATGGGTTCTTTGTTGCCGTCGCTCATGCAACTCTCTGGAGGCTCAGAGCCGCGGGAAGGCGTCAACACTCGCGCCAACTGAATAGGGCTAGCGCCACTTGCCGCGCGTTTACATCCGCTCCGCCCTTCAAACTACACCTGTACGCTCCTACACTTTGAAAGGCCGAAAGTCAACTATAGCGATCATTGTATTTTTGAACGACAGAACTAATCCAGAAAGCAATCGCTGTTATAATGGACCACCCTCACGCCTCGTTACCTCTCGTTCAGCCGATCGGCATCCAAAGAGAACGAGCTTCGCCACAAGCGCCTCGCTGCCAATTGTCTAAATCATGATTAAGAAAAAAGGGAAATGAACAAAACACAAGCACATCACCCATATTTGCATCTCACGCCATCCGCCGCCATCTCCAACAGAATTTTTGAACGTATGTATAAGGAAAAAGACATAGCCAAATATAGAACAAGCAACGAGTATATATACTAAACGAAGAAGAATTGGGAAGTCATCGACAGTACCTGCCATATAAAACCACGGAGTGTCATGGCAGTCAATTCACGTGGAACAAGCCGCATGGCGAAGTCCGCATTGACAAAGCCAGGGACTGAGGAAGAAGCAGAAGAAAAGTCGGCAAAGCAACCATAAGTGAACCGAAACTCCAAGGCTGCAGGAGGGTCAAAACAGTGGTGGTCGAGGTTCAATCATTTAAAATCATGCATGTGGTCTATTTTTGAGTCCAACCGTCCGGATCCATCCACTTGTGGCCACATCAGCTAGAATGAGGGGCCTGCTGTGATGGATCACGAGGATGACTCAAAGATCCTGTGCGGAAAGAAGGGCCTCTCATGCTCATGCCATCCATGCTCGATGGTCTGTCTTGAGGCAGGTTCGGCAGGCCGTGAGCCATGTGGGGCATTTCCTGGGGATGAGACGTCGGGGTCATGGGAAGCTGATATGACATAGTAGTCTGAGACATGGCGTGACTGGGAGCGGTACCATACTCCATTGGGTTGAAGAGATTGTGTCGGAACGAAGGCGTCCAAGGGTCGAAGCTGGCCGAGTGCTGCATGGGCAGGGGTGCTTGGCGGTGGTGGGAAATCTGCTCCGGGGCGGAGGACGTGATGGGCGCCTGTGTCATATAATCGAAAGCGGCAGGTGTCTCATTGGGGCTGACAAGTGCCGTCGTTGCAGGGTTTCTGAGCATCTGCTGCGATGCATAATCTTCGGTATACTCAGAGGTCGTGGGAAAGAAGGTCCGATCATCCCGGGGTGTCTCACCGAAACTCAACGACTCCGGTAAAGGAAACAACTGGTTTCTGTCATCTCCCATATTCATTGGGCGACTTGGCGCCGCCATGCCCATGTGTTCGACTGAGCTCGACATCAGGCTGGTTGAGTTTACCTCAGCGTGGTGAATGGGAAGTGCCTCATCCGCATTATCGTCTTCTTGCTCATGCTTCTGGTCCGGATCCACATTGGACTCGACATCCTTCTCTTTCGGGTTCGACTCTCGGTTGACAACATATACGATCGTGTTGGCATCTGAGGCTAGTCAACAGCTGTCAAAATGAATATCACGGAAAGAAGATGCTGCTTACCAACTTCTCCTCTTTCATAGCGTTCTTCCATCCTTCTCACTCTGAAGACCTCGTCCAAGATTTGGAGTCTGTGGGGGCCTCTGAGCTGCCGCTTGCAGTCGTGGGCAATTTCCTGCAATTGATCCGTGGTAATACCGAATCTTCCAAGCTTGCGGATGATATGAATCAACAGAGACAGGCGTTCTAAATCTGTCAGCAAAGTTACTTGACATAGGAGATTTTCTGGAGGGGCCCACGTACGATCCTTTCGAAGATGATCAGGCTCCTTGTGAACCACATCGGCGGGCCACCATTCGGGCTTTGTCTTCTCTGGGTCTCCCTTCTTACCAGGAGGGGCTCCTGCGGGGGGTTTACCTCCATTATAGGGGTGCTTGACTTGCTTTCTTGGCTCGATGAACTTAATGAATGCCTTTGCAATCTGGCGACAGTTGAGCTGCTGGAAGTGCTTCAAGGATCTCTCATAGTAGTCGAGGACTTTAGGAGTATCACCGATTTCGAGCCCGACCATGTCCACCGATCCACAAGAGGGCGTTTCCTCAACGGGGCTTGAGAACTGGACGGATGGCGGCACACCGTACATAGAGTGGGCTGGGGAATTTCTGCGCCGCTTGTTCTGACGGTAGGGCAAGTGACCAAGCGGTTGTTGAGGATCATAGCTATATGGTGTGGCACCGGCACCTGACAGCCCTGTTCAAATGAGATCAGCAAGAATATCGTACCTGTGCGCGGAGGGTTTACATACTTCGAACCATGGGGCGCTGATACCCGATCTTGGCACCAAGAATTTCCAAAAATCTTTCACGGACTTCGGGTGTAAAAACAGTCCCATTTTGCTCCTGGATAGACGGAGATTCCGTCACCTTGAGTCTGCCCATGTTGTCGAGATAGATCATGGCGTAGTGGGCGTAAGGGATGTTGATTGATGAACGCACGGATAGACCCATGGGCTATGTAGGAGATGAGTCAGCTCCCTATATATCTTTCCAGTGCCGGTATCACTTACCGGGACATTATCCCAGCCGTTGACATCGTCCTGCATGCATGACGCTGGCCTTTTACTGGAGCCCACCCCAGGAGCAGGTGCGCTGAACACCATTGTGTAGTTTGAGAGACTGACGTTGACAAAGGTCCGGCAGGTTTCGTTGAGCAGGTGTATCGTTTGGACAATCTCGAGTTGGACGTTTCTCAGACAGTACGGTTACTGAATTGCTCTGAGAGGTAGATAGTGCTCAACACATGAAGATGCCGTCGAGTTCCGAGCGTGTTTACAGCTGCGATGGCGGCAATATATATTGTATATATTGTCTTGGAGGTCTTTGTTCTGTCTTCCAGCGGGATCAGAACCCGGTGATCCGAGATGGTGATGAGGCTGCAGAGATGCAGGTCTGGTGAAGCCACGGCAAGCAAAGGCCGCTGATTAGCTTTGGTTTGACACTTGGAAAGGTGCAGCATGCCAGAAGCCTCAAGGGGAAACAAGATACAGCAATGAGAAAGGCTCAAAATTGAGATAAGAACGTCAAGACGGAGACGAAAGCCGGTACGGCGGTTCGAGTCCATGACCCCGCCATCTGCTGTAGTTTGCTTCTGAAGGCAGACGAGCCATTTTGAGGCAGATCGACGCCCGTCAAACAGAGTTGAGAGGGGGTAGTATGCGTGACAAGTGACGACATGCTACTCACAGGATGCACCCAGACGAGAACGGAGATCAAAAGCCCAACGGGGTTTGAGAGCAAACAATCAAGATCGGCCCGGGAAGGTGGGAGATGCTGCAAGATGGATGCTGGCAACCGATTTCGGCACAAAGATAGGCGGGTGTGACAAGCAGCAACAGACTTGGAACTAGATCAAGAGTTTTTGGTCCTTTTCTTTGTTTTCTGCTCCGGGGATATGTTGGTAAACGAGGATGGTGACACAAAGTCAAGTCAAGAGAAAGGACAATCAGTGATTGACAGATGAGAAGTTACCCAATAGCTCAAGGGGACACTGGCGAGTTCCTCATATAGAGAAGAAGTAGACGAGAAGAAGAAGGATTGGAGCTTTAAGACGGGGGGAATGGCAGTTTTTCAGTGTTGGCGATGAGAGATCGGAATGCCTGTGCCTCTAGGATATTGATGATAGCGATCGAATATAGAACTAGAAGCGCCTCTGGGACTTTTTCTTTTCTTTTCTTTTTATTTATTATTTCCCTATTTTTTTTATTAATATACTATTTTATTTTGTTGGGCGCCTCTCTCATAGTCAAGCTGCCATCGAATCGAAGGGCCGTCCCGATTTGGCCATCTGAGACTCCGACTTAGTGGAATGACCCGCCAACATGGATGATCCTTGAAGCGCATCAAACTCGAAACGCAAGATAGTCTCTACGGCTGCCAAAAAGCACCGGTCCAGAGCTGCGGGCTGCATCTCTCAGGCAAGGCCATGCAGCAGTAGGGCGGTATCCGTACTTCTTTTATTTATTTCTTTTTGTAAATTACTATAGTTGTCATATGGATTTATTTCCTACATATTTATCGAAAGTATTCCTTTTTTTTTTTTCTGCAGCCATTATTCGCATGGACATTTTCCTCATATTTACCCATAGTTGTAGATCGTTTCAACCACTCCCCAAGCCATCTGCTCTACTAGTAGGTAGGCTTTGTTCGGAGGATGCCAGTCAAAAGCACCGTGGCTTACCGATGCTTGCTCCACAGCCAAAGCACTGGAACGCTGGTTTCTAGATTAGACAGCTACGTTCAGATCGATGTCTGTAGAGTGCTTGCTCAGATGACCATCAAACGCACGACATCTACAACAGATGATTACTATATGGCCTGGGAAGAACCAACCCACAAAAGAGACTCATATTGGTCAGTCTTTCAACATAAATTGTCGTCTCTATGGGTACTCG